CGAATCTATGCATGTGACCATGTGATACTATCGAATAATCAAAAATGATACATTTTTTTTCAATAATCAAAAACGATAGAATTTTTTTTTCAATAATCAAAAATGATACATTTATTTTTTCAATAATCAAAAACGATACAACAGTTTGTACAACTAACTTCTATAATCAAAAAGCATCACCTCCTTAATCAAAAACGATATATTTGCATTTAAAATTGAATGGACATGTAATATGACTTTCTGTTTTTAAGTTGAAAATTAATAATATAAATGATATTTCAGATTAAAGTAATATAATCCTTTAACAATATATTTATTTTTTCTTTTGTTAAAAAATTTTATTATAAAACAATCAAATTCTTTTTTATTTTAACATTAATAACCAAACATTCCTTTCTATTTTCTACAAACCTAATTACTTTTTAATATTACTAAAATAAATAACAAAATTTTGGGATAATTTTAACAGATTTTCTATTGTGTTTAGAAAAAAGATGAATAATTTATATAATATAAAGACCTTTAACAAACTTTTAGGAAAGAAATTATAATATGTGTTTAGTTATTTGAAAGGTTAACTTAATAACGTACTGTACGTTAACTTAAAACTCTTCGTAACGAAGGTTCATCACGTGCAAAAATACCCTTTGGTACATAAAAAATTCTCCCCTTGGTACATAAGTTAAACAATGGACAAAAAAACAGGAAACTGTCTCAATTTCCGGACCAGTAACATTTACAACAGTACGGTCAATGCGGCTTGTAATATTGTAATTGACGTGTGGCATGTAAATGATGTCGAGTAAATTATTGTTTTTTTTCTTTTTATCGTAGTTTAGACCAATCAGTAAACGATTAACGAGATTAGTGATACCGACTTATCTGTAGCAAAATGTTAAAATCGGTTTCATTTATTATTTTAGTTTAGCCAGCTGTTAAAAAGCTTTGTTAAAACCTACAGTATGTTTAAAGTTAGTAGTTAGTATACAATAAAATTTAACAAGGTTTTTGTTTAATTATAATTCTGTTAAAACCAATCAGTTAATAAAATATTTCTTTGTACTATAAACAGAAGTTCAAAACTTTAAATTTTACACAAACTTTAGTATACCTTTTTAATTTACTTTGTTCATACGAGATTAATATTTCGATAATTTCAATTTTCTTTATATAATGCAGCTTTAATTGGCGTACAAACAAATTACCGTATATTCCCGAAAATAAGCACCCTTTCCCGCATTATGCCGATTTTGGCCGAAATTATGAGGCCTTGGCCGGCATTATGTGCAAAAAAGGGGTGCTTATTTTCGGGACTATGTGGAAGTTTGGTATAAATACAAAAAAAACTTGATACCAAGATTATGGTCTAAGTTCCTTCCAAAAAGTTATATATTGGTGTTCCGAACATCCAAACACCAAAAAAAAAAAAAAAAAACCGAAAAAATCAAAAAAATTCTGAAATTTCTAAGCTTTCATTTTCATTTTCTTTCTTTTTTTTTTGAAAAAAAAAAGATAAGAATACAACTTATAAATAAAATTAACCCTGGCTAAAATGCCTTCCCTCACAAAATCATTTGCATTCTACGCGCATATGTCAAGATTCTTTATCGAGAAAATGTCTCTCGTAATGTTACTTATTATTCGATCCTTAAACATCCCGCCTACAACATTCTGGAAGATTAGACACGCGCATGGTTATCTTTCCGGAACAATAAATAATGGTGGCTCATTTTTATATGACTTGGTAAAGGCAGTCGGAAATCTTTTCCAATTGTACTTTAACAGTTTAAACTGTCGTTCTTGTTCTTGTTCTGAACAACTTTTAGCACGCATAAAGAAACTAATTTTTTACTTTATCCTTACTGTAATAATTGTTACTTTATTTATTTTGAAGAATTAGAAGGTATCTGACGCATTCATTCACTTCCTTCAGTGAAATATTTTTTTAATAAATAAATAATGCGACAATTATTTATTTCTATGTGAATGTGGTAAATCTTATATTTTTAACCATTTAATAAAGCAATTTTTGATTAAAAACAAACAAAATAAGTGTTATAAATGTTCATAATTAATATTTATTTACTGTCAATCGGATATTCATTATTTTCGTGATAATTAAGTAAATGAACCAACGTATAGAATGTTACACGGGTATTTGAATTTTAATGACTACGTAATATGCAACATACAGCTGGATGATAAAAGCGTTTCAAATTTAATTTTTTCTGTTCAAAAAGAAAAAAATTATTTTTTAAAAAAAGGGTGGCAGATCTGATCATATTTGGTAAAAATCGTCACAATATATGATTAATGTAAAAGTGGTTACAACCAAATCGTTTGATTTATTATAAATTTTATTTAATTTCATTTAATTCTGGCCAGAATTAATCACGTCACGTGATTTACCGGAAAAAAAAAAGTTTAATTTACATGTCATTATTTAAAATGTAAGAATAATCGGTAAATAATCACAAACTTTGAATGTCTAAGTAAACTTAAAAATTAATTTAAAGTTACTTTCATATTTTATACAATTGATAATTTGAAATTAAATATAATTGATATAAAAATCAGCTTTAATATTTATTACTATATAAATTAATAGGACAATTGCAAAAAATCTTAAAAAATAAAAATTTATTTGAAATAGTATTAATAGTATTATAAATAAAAAAGATTTAAAATCGCAAATGTATTTTATTAATTTATTTATATCAGTTACATACTAATTAAGTAAATAAAATAATAATTGCAATTAATATGTATTTTAATGAATTTTATGAGAAGTATCATTTCAATTACCACAAGAATGACAACTGTATGAATTGTACCTTTTATTCTAATTCTCCTTTAGTACTTCTACAGCTGATTTGATTTTCAAGTATAATTATTAACAAATAAATTATTAACTTAAATTAAAGGGTTATTAAATTGTTTCATAGGTTTAATATATTGTTTCATCTAAGGTTGCTGGAGAAACTAGGGGGTTTTGGCAAGTTGGTGAAATGCTGAAATAGTGAAACTTTGCCAAAACTATATGAAAGTCTTATTAAAAAGTTGGCAAAACTCTGGAGAAAAGCGAAACCTGACGAAACTTATTATAAATGCAAAAACTGCAAAAACCTTGCTGAAACTATAATAAAACTATAGTAAAATCTTGGAGAAACTAATCGTAGAATTTTGGAGAGGTTTAGGCAGGCAACTTGTTTTATCTATTAAGTTAGCTCTTAATTATCATTATCAACTGCTAATTGTATTACATAATGTGCTAATCCATAAATTTTTCCATATCTTTTTTTCTTTAATAAATGTTCTTTTAAGGTAAAATGAACTGTATCTTAATGGAGTATATGATTGTGAATATCTTTGAATAAAAATACATATGGTTTAATTCTATACTTTAGCTATAAAATATTTACATGTACTTATTTTTAAGTCTTTAAAAAAAGAAAATAATTGCATAAATGAATTATATATACTTAGTTAACTTTCTTTATCTTAATCCTAATCCTATGTTAATTTCTAATTCTAACTTTGACTAATTTTAATTTATAAAGGTTACTTGCCTAAACTTCTCCAAAATCATAATTAGTTTCTCCAAAATTTTACTATAGTTTTATTATAATTTTGGCAAAGTTTTGGCAATTTTGGTATTTATAATAAGTTTAATTAGGTTTCACTTTTCTCCAGAGTTTTTGCTAGCTTTTTAGTAAGACTTTTATATAAATTTGGTAAAGTTTCGCTATTTTGGCATTTTACCAACTTGCCAAAACCCTTTAGTTTCTCCAGTAACCTTACCTGCAAGTTGATTATGTACTATAAATTGTAGGCTAATTTGGATAAAGTTATAAGTATGGCATTCAGCTTTAACTAATTTACTGATAATTGAAAAAGGTACTTGAACTGCCATCAAAAGGTAAAATAAGATTATGAATTTATATATTTGCATATTTGCAAAAGAATTTTAATATGAATCAGTTAACAAGATCTTGGATGGTATTGACAAACTTATGGTTTTAACTGAAATTAGATTAATGCTAAGTATCTTGATGATTTTGACAGAATGTTCAGATTGTCTGAGTTTTAGAAGTGTAGTTGTTGGTAAAAAGTTTCATTACTAACTGTACCCTTTTATTTTCATTTGTTGCTTTTTTTGTTATTTTATTTTTTTTGGTTTGTTTGGCATACTTTTATACTGGTATTGCCTGAACATTTCTATTGCACAGTAGAAGTGGGGGTTTCAGAAAATTTTGTAATTGAATATTACAATATTACTATAACACTATGCCAAGTTTGCCTTAAATTACTATAAAATGTTTTTTATTTTGTTCAATAGTTATAATACTCCAAATCTCATAAATGCTAATTTTGTGAATTAAAAGTCAAAACATTTTTAACACTATTAAATTTTAATATAGCATTAATTTTTGAGAATTAATGTATAATTTTTTACTTTCTTGCCTGTTTCTATTGATTTATTTTATTTTTTTTAATAAATAAATAAATAATATTTAATATTTCAAGATTACTATTAATAAATTATGGTTCTTTTAATGTTATTAATTAAATTTGTTGTGATGGATCTGCTAACATTCTTTTTAACATTGTACCCCAAGTATCTGTTGTAGAAGGAATAACAATCTATTATAAAAAATATTTAACGAATTGATAAATGTAATTTAAAAATTTAAATAATGGTATTATATGTACATACTTGAAAGGGAAACGGATTAGCCTCTAAAGTTGTGATAGGAGGTATATGATCTTTTTTATCATTAATGAAACGTATAATGTTTAAAAAACATGTTGTTAATTGAGCGCTCATTTCTTTTCGAATTCTTAATGTTTCTAAATGAATCAATATTCAGAAATTAAATAATTGTTGTATTGAAGAAAATCGAAAAACATGTAAAAAGTAAATAGGTTAATTTTAACAAAATAAAATAAATTAAGGATAAAGACAACACATTAGAGTTTAAAGATGAGGGTAACAATCAAATATAAGTAATTACCGCCATCAGTTCGACATATAACAGTGTTTATGGTAACAGCCCATTGTTCCCAACATATTTCTTCTTCTGATTTAGAAAACCAAGCTTTTTTTGTTCTTTTTTCATGAAACATTACAGCAATCTACGAGATATTAAATTATTTGAAGAATAAGATAAAAAGATATTGTAAGGCAACTTTGAACTAGAAGAACGAGATATTTAACTTGTCCTTTTTGATTTCCTTGGGTTTCTAAGATACGCATAAATTGATCTACATTATCATCAACTTTTTTTTCAATTTCTGGGTCATCTATGGCAGACTAAATAAAAACGTTAGAAATCAATGTTACTTATCGTCAGTAATGACCTGTAAAACGAAATTATGGTGAGTGACTTACATATGTGATATCTAATACATCCACTTCTTTCGGTTTAATATTTCCAAATACACGATAAAACAGTATAGTATGTAATATTCCTTTATAAACAAAGAAATTTTAGTATAAATATGATAAATATTGTTTAAAATAATATAATATTTACCACGTAGAATATCTGCGACAGCCGTTCGATCTACTGTCTTAGAAAAAATGTGTTTTATTTATTATGTGAAATGAATAAATTTAAAAAGACTTATATATATATTTACCAGTTCGATCGGATATACTTCAGGGTTCATGGTAAAAAATATATTTTCAATCAGTACCTATATTCAAAATTGTAGATTATAAAAATTATGGCTGTTACCTAACAGATCTGGATCCAGTGATTTTCGTGCGACTTTCAAAAATTTTTTTTAAAGCAAATTTTTCAAACCTCGATCTTCCTCTCTTCCCAATACCATAAAATAAAGAGCAACATGGTATGTATGATTTATTTAAAAATTAAATAATCCATCCATTAAATTTTATATCTCATTAATAATGAATTATTTGTTGGAATAATATAAAGTCTCATAGAAAATTTGAGGCTCCCCGTCATGGCTCTTTGGGATTTCTTCCGCGTAAACGAGCAAGAAGACACCGAGGTAAAGTCAAGTCTTTTCCAAAAGATGATCCAAGTAAACCTGTTCATCTGACCGCTTTTATGGGCTATAAGGCGGGTATGACCCATATTGTTCGTGATTTGGATCGTCCTAACTCAAGTAAGTAATTGAATGATATTTTTAATCTTTGACTGATGTAATCTAAACAAGCGTTTAAATTATTTTAATTTAAAATAGAGATGCATAAGAAGGAGATAGTTGAAGCTGTCACCATCATTGAAACACCACCTTTGAAGATTGTAGGTGTAGTCGGATACGTTGAAACACCAAGAGGATTACGTACCTTGACCACAGTATGGGCAGAACACTTGAGTGATGAAGTCAAAAGAAGATTTTATAAGAACTGGTATAAATCAAAAAAGAAAGCATTTACAAAGTATGCTAAAAAATATTCTGAACAAAATAAAGAAATCGATACAGAATTGGAAAGAATTAAAAAGTATTGTCAAGTTGTAAGAGTATTAGTTCATACACAAATTCGTAAAATTAAAATTCGACAAAAGAAAGCTCATCTGATGGAAATTCAATTAAATGGTGGCACTATTAAAGATAAAGTTGACTGGGCTAGAAGTCATTTTGAAAAAGATGTGGAAATTTCTTCAGTATTTGAACAAGATGAAGTTATTGATATTATTGGTGTCACCAAGGGTAAAGGTTTTGAAGGGGTCACTCATCGTTGGGGAACGAAGAAACTTCCGCGTAAAACCCATAAAGGTTTACGTAAAGTTGCTTGTATTGGTAAGTATTTTATATTCTTCTTCTCAAGGAAAATAGTTATCTCGTGATCACTAATTTTCCAAGTCAATATTCTTTAGGTGCATGGCATCCCTCAAGGTAAATAACATTATTAGCATCTCTCTTTTTATATTTTTTTTACAAACCCGCACATTCTAAAAAATTAATAATACATTAAGAGTAATGTATTCTGTTCCACGTGCTGGTCAAAATGGATATCATCACCGAACGGAAGTCAACAAAAAAATTTATCGTATTGGTAAACAGAGTGAAGACAATAATGCATCAACTGAATACGACAATACTAAGAAAAAAATCACACCATTGGGTGGTTTTCCGCATTACGGTATTGTTAATGAAGACTTGTAAGTAATAATTTATTTCTTAAATAGATAAAAAAGTTACAATTCGTTAATTTCTTTTTTACTTTTCCTGTGCAGCGTTATGATCAAGGGCTCATGTGTTGGAGTTAAGAAGCGTGTTCTTACTTTAAGAAAAACTTTAATCACCCATACAAAACGTTCCGCTTTGGAGAAAGTTTCACTTAAGGTACTAATCTTATTATTGCTTTTTTTTGCATATTAAATCTATTAACAATGGTTCTTCTTTCAAGTTTATCGATACGAGTTCCAAATTTGGACATGGGCGTTTCCAAACTCCAGAAGAAAAACACGCTTACCTTGGTACTCTCAAAAAAGATGCTGAAAAATAGTATAGTCGTTTCATTAAAATTAAATTAATGGCAAGAATTGTGTTTTACATTTTAAATAAATTGATAAATTGTTTATAATATGTAATATTCAATCATTTTAATCTTGGTGAAATTTAATTTTTTTAATCAATGTTTAAATAAATTTTACTAAATAATAGTACACAAATTAATTATAGTTCTATTTCTGAATAAGATTTATTGTTGAACAGAAATATCCAAGGATGATTTATTGCCATCATTATTAGATGATGAACTGGAAAGTTTAGAGCGAACATCGTCTATTGAAAGTTTGCGAGCTTCAGTTCCCGTAACATCATCTCCAAATGGGTAATTATTTTGATTATATACCCAAGATTCCACGGTTGGACGTGGATTGGAAGTGATTTTATCCAATTCACGTTTAATCAAACTACAAATAAGAAATTTAGTTAAAGGAAAATTATCATTTTCTTAAACTTTTTACACTTACAAACAGAAAGAGTCTAGTTCCAAATCGTTTTCGTCATAACCGAAAGGATTCTCAATTTCACCACCGATTCTTTTTTTTTTTTTTTTTTTAAAAAAAAAAAAATTAAATTAAATAAATTATTAATATGATGAAAAATTGAAGATAAAGGGTTTAACTTACAGCTCGATGCCCATCAAAATCATAGACGCCAGAAAAACAACAGGAATAGTAATATAATGAAGGTTTTTAATTAATTGAAAAGGCAGACTAAGGCAATATATCCAAACAGTTTGTTTCAAATGAATAGAATAAGCCAATGGAATAGGACTTCTTAAAATTCTTTCAAATTGAGTCAAACAATCTACCATGGTATTTAATGCAGCATACATAGAATTTGTAGTTGGAACATCAGTTTTTTTTTTTTGTGCTAGAGTATCAATATATGAAGAAAGATAAAGTGTTATTTCTAAAGGTAAATTATGGCTCACAGGTATCGGGGTACCTTTCCGTCTTTGATGTGGTTTAACTTTTGGTTTAAACATCTTTAAGCTTGATTGTCTTCCTAACTTTAAATTTTCTCTAATTTTATTCTCTGTTAAATCTTGATCTTCAATAGGTGCAAATCCTGGTAAACTACTCTTTATATTTGATATAAGATATTTTAAATCCTCATGATTACTTCCTTCTTCTTCTCGAAGATAATGCTTTGTGGCTACAGCAAATCCCAATAATAAATTTATTGCTGTTTTCTTTTCTAAGATATCTTTTGTGCCTTCGTCTTCTTTAACGTTTATCCAAATAGTTCTTGTAAGATTTCTTATAGCTACGACCAAAACTGACCAAAATCTTCTTCCTTCCCAGTATCTAAAAAAGAACAAACGAACTTTTTCAATTGTAAACAATTGATTTTTCACACGAATAAATAGTTGCATTACCTGTCATATGCAGTATTTGTTCTATAAGTAAGCAAAAGACCTACGACGAACCCAAGTATTGGAATAAATGTTGAATCTATACCTAACTTGACGTCGGTTTTTTCATAAAGTACTGTTACAATAACTGCTACTATTGTAACCACCAAAGTAGATGGAAGTACTCTAGGCAAAACCGATCCTTTCCACCTAATACTATGCGGTTTATGGTACACGTAAGGATCATAAACTTTGGGTTGGTTTCTTTTAACCATTTTATTATATTTTCCCTAAACTTTTTGTTTACAATACAGAAACGTTACATTATATCATTAAAGAAATTAAAATGAATTCGTATTGTAACTAATTTTCGATCACATTTGTTAATATGATTTAGCGTCATCAGTACGTCATCATATGACATAAATATATTTTAAACATTTTTATACTTTAATTACAAAAATTGGGTTTAAAATCTAATCATTGAGATTAAGAAATGATTAAGTTTTTATGAAGTTCTCTAAGATTTTCGAGTATAGGGTTTCTATAAGGGAAAAATGAAATAAAATAATTCAAAGGAGAAACCTATATTAAAGAAAAAGGTTAATATTGAAATTTATCTTATTTATTTTAAAATGCCTTTATACATACCCATTTTGCTAATATAGGTGACCATACTCTTTCTTCGTTCTTTGTCAGATCAGAATGTTTAAGATAAGATGGTCGATATTTTTGAAATATTTTGTTCTCTAAAACAGTTCTTAAAGTGATCAAAAAAGAATACATAATGTTAGGTATAAATATCATGAAAATGATATTAAGAAGAAATTATTTACCCAAATAGTAAACTAGCTAATTGGAACCAATTTTCACCACTTTTGATCGTTGCATAATATACTAGTTGATCGACGATGTATAAATATTGAATCTCAAGATCAGTTATTTTCTTTTTGTCCTAATTTAGATAAAAATTAATTTAAAGCTTGCAAGAAAAAAGCGACTTCAATAAATGCAAGTATATAATATTACTTCATTATCCTCAACTAAATCAAAGAGTTGTGCATTACTGTTAAAATTACTTAGGAAGCGAACAGTATGATTTTCGAGTACGCTGTAGGTATATGATGATTTATAACCAGACGCAAACTAAAAACAAACTCGAATTAGTTTTTGATAATCAAATATTGCTTCAAATCACGTAACTGTACCTGAAATTTTGAGATATAACCAAAACTCATTCTTAAAGAAATCCAATAATTTTCAGAAGGACGGTTCCTATTATATACTGTTACAATTTCTTGTATATATTTTTCCTATAAATAAAATTAATAAAGTAATTATACAGGATAAATATTGAATCTTCCTTAGTATACGATTAAAATGAAACTTACTCTTCGAACGCTTTCAGCGTGCTTAGTCAAAGATTTTAAATTAGGTCGTACCAAAATATTATGAAACGCTTTGGGAGCTATTTCTTTGACATCACTGGAAAATTCCAAATTGAAATACATTGTGTCATTAACAATTTCATATTCTAAAGGTTTATCGAGTAAATTATTGATCCTTATTTCGCGAAATTCTGGATTAAACTGGAAATTCCATTCATCATCATCCTTATTACGACATATTTTGCCTGATAGAATTCGATAAAACCACGTAAATTATAAATCAAAATATTAAATATCAAATACAGATAACATACCCATTAAAGCTTCCATTTCATTATAATTAACCTGTAAAGATGGCATCCTGCATTCTGCTTTAAGTATTACAGTCTGCTGATAATCTTTGACAAGCCTACAGTTCACATAGATTTCAATAATTTTCGTTTCTACTAAATCCGGATCTCTTTGATTACCACTATCAAGAAGCTTTTGTATTTCTCGGGAAGGTAGAGGTCTTGATCGTATATAAACTCGAACATTGCTTTCTGGTTCAATGGTAAGTGTTTTAAATAATTTAGCCGACATTCTTGAAGTAGAAAATAGTATTTCTGTTGGATCATCATGATCAATATTTGTTTGAAACTGAAAGAACAATAATTTCTTGAGTACTTCAATAAAATGACAAAACCTTCAAAGATACCAAAATATTGCCTACCGTAAATTCTAAGGGTACAGTTTCCCTATTATATATAACCATGCTACGGGCAGTATATTCAGAACCATAAAATAAATTAGACATTTCTACACATTTTTGGTTATTGTCCACGCCATTTACGTAAATATCAAAAACATGATTGTTAGTTAATGAAATATTTGTGCCTCTTTTTAAATTTTGTCTAGCAACAACCTAAAGAGCGTTAAAGTTAATTATCGATAAAATCTATAATTCTATCTAAAAAAAACTTTATTTAATACATGCCTCCATCATAACTCTGATAGTCTTGATGTCTGAAGGATTATCCAAATTTTTAATAATTAGATATGTCGAATAAACGTTACGAGTACTCGTTGAAAAACTTAAAGTTATCGCATGAACATCAGTATATTGACGATGATGTTCATCAGCTAATGCTTCTAAAGTACCTTCAGTTCGACTTATATTTAGCCAGCTCTTATCAATAGCTGAAACAGTTTTAATTTCATATGAGATACGTTTTGATGTGGTATTTTCAAGAGTCAGTTTCTTTACTATAGAAGTCAAACCAATATCTTGTTGTCCTAAATCAAGCTCATAACGACCACCAACATCTGTGGCTTCACCAATTCTTTTGCATCCACGTAAAGTTATGAAAGGAAAATCGGGGGAAATATCTTGATAAGAATAAGGTTTTTCTTGTGAACCTGACAAGTGTCCCATTTGAGTAGATTTAAATAAGTGAAAACGAGGTTCCGCAGCTTCTTCGGACACTGAATCAGGAATTTCTTCAATTCTGGTTTTTTTACGAGATTCGCGAGTAACAGATTCAATACCGACAAGAACAATCTTGTCGTGATCGTTAGATAAAGAATTAATATCTCTAATACGAATCTTAATGTCTTCCGAAACTGCTATCGTAGAATCTACGAGTTCAATTTTTAAACTGAACGTTTTCCCAGGTTCAATAGTTCCTTCTAATGGGGAAACATCGATAACCTCTTTAGCTGAAAGTTCCATTGGTCCCTCTATTATTACTTTAAAAGACAATGAAATTTTTTTTGATAAATTTGTTATTATTAAATATTCTCTCTGTGGCAAGATATCTTCAGAATCATCAGGTGGTTTTATCTCTTCAGTTTTATTCGGAGCATGTATTTTATTTCTTTGAATAAGCGGATATTTACTAATATCATCGTTAGTAATTTCACTATCGGAAGAATATAATTCCGTCTTAAAACGTATCTTCTTAGTTGAAACAGAAAAGGTGGGAGATTCTTTAATAAAACCACGTATCGGTATAATCTCAGCCACTGTATCATCTTCATTATTTTGTTTTGTGGCTACACAAAGCTTTCCAAAGGTAAAACCATCAGAGTTTATGTATGAAGATTCTTGAGGTAAACGGCTGGTTTCAATTGGAAATGCACAAACTCTAACTTCAATTGAACCGTGAGCGCTAATAGAAACACTTCCAACTAATGGTGAATTCGAAAACCTCGAGAGTACGTCAATTTTGATAAAATTAGAAATATAAGGTGAGAGTTCCACTCCAATTTCGAAACGAATATCCCTTTCGCTTATATTATGAATTGTGAACCACGCGTCGTAAGGAAAATCAGATCGAGGAATAGGATGATAAAGAGTAGGCAATACAAGTTCACCCTGAATTAAGCGATCAAATTTAAGTTCAAATAAAGTGAGCGTAGCTTGTATATCCAAGGTCATTTTATTGTAAGGATTATACATGTTTAGAACATTGACGGAAAATGTTCTTTCCCCAGCAGAAAAATTTTCAATTCTACGAGGCTTCAGAACTGCTGTTATTATCTGATCAACGAGTGGTTCTACTGTACGTTTCAAAGCAATAACTCCTTTATTCTGCGCCTTTGACCCATCATCATTTATCCCTAATATTTCAATACAATCGGGACTTTGTAATTCATAATGTAAAGGAATTTCAGATAAATTACGTAAAGTGAATTGAAATATCGAAGAATTAGAGTGTCTTATCTTTCCAAGATTTATCATTGCCGTGCTTAATTCGCCCTTTGGGACACAGAAATTGGCATTTAAATTTACCAATTTTAATGTAAGCTCTTGTACGATGTCATATAGGAGCAGCACACCTTGGACGTTCACTTTTTTACCATCTTCAATTAATTTTAGTTCTTCATTAGTTAAAGAATTAGGTTGAGGACAACTTACATAAAGATGTGCTTTGGAACCAGAATTCAATTCAATTATAGGTCCACATTCATGAAACAGATCGATTACATTTGATTCTTTATCATAGCTTTCAATAATGTTTGTACCTGTAAAGGGTCCCCATCTAATCTTAATATCTAAATCACTTAATGGTCTAACGCTAATTTGAGTTGACGATTTATTACATATCTCGATACAAACTTCATATAACGGAACCGCTGTTGCTTGATACCCTTTTTGAATAACAGCTTTGAGATCCAATATGTTTTCACTACATTCTAAGGTAGAATTTTGCGCTTTTGGATCTGGTTTAATGACTGTTGTGGAGATATTTTCCCATGAAAGTAAAGGCAATTTATTAGGATCATTTATGTTTTCAACAATTGTTGATGTAGCCGAAAATCCGAGAGTATTATTATCAACGAATAGACGAACTTCTACTTCAACAACCTGACTCGTATTATTTTTGTTGGTAACAATAATTTTATCTCTAAATAATCCATATTTTGATGTGATGAATTTAAAATTAATTAAGGCAATTGATTTATCATCAGACTCACTCTCACGTGGGAAAATATCAGTACCATCAGGAACAACTTTCTGACTGAGAGTTTCACGTTGACTGAATTTACATTCCCACCCGTCCAAAGTTCCATACGTACGATCTAATATAATATTTCCGCTAGGACACTTGACTTCGTAATCTAGTGGTAAACGACTAGACATGTTACGAATGGTAAAAGAACCATGGAATGTCTCATCAATAGACGCAGTGGACCCAAGTGATATTAGCTTATCTGATACCGATAATATAGATCGGCCTATTAAAGAAGTGAACTTGACAGTTTGGGTAATGGCTTCTATTAATTCCATCTCATTGGTTTCTTGCGCAGATGATGAATACGTGCTTTCTTTTACTTGTACGGAAAATTTAATACCACCAATTAACTCGCGACATTCACCATTGGCAATCGCATTTCGGTCTGTATTGTTTGTTCCACTTACTGAACTCCCAGCTGCTGTTCCTGTATTAGCATTTCTTCTTGCTGTAGGAACAACACTTAATAAATTTGGATGTAAAGCAACCCAAACAGTGGTCTTCGATTTCTTTTTTAATAGAGTTTTGGATACTTGTCCACATGTTCCATCTTCGTCAAGAAAAACGGATACTTGTAATGATAAATTACTTTGAGCAGTAATATAAACATCATCATCGGAAATATTTTCTACGGTTAGAGGTGCTACTTGCGAAAATTTTCGTCCAGGATCAACGTAGCAATAACCTAAATTTAATTCAGATTGCCCATCATCACCAAGCGATGGAAATCGTAAATACTGGGAATAATGTACATATCCATGAAGAGTGAAAATGCATTCCACTTTTGTCGAACTATTTCGTACTAATAATTTGTGAGATTGTCTTCCAACTACTGTGGCAACAACTGAAAAATCTATGCGACGAGTTTCTTGAGGTGATAATGTTCCATATTTTTGGCTAATCTGGAAAAATCCTTCTTCCTCTTCTGAAACAACAATTTCATAATTTAACGGGCGATTGCTTCGATTTAACAATTTAAAGTAATAGTTATGATTCTGATTGACTTCGAGTCTCCCTATATCTAATATCGTTGGTTCCAAAATCAAATGGTCGGTTTCACATAAAGTCTCCACGTGTTCGACTGAATCTACATGTGGAGAAAGTTCTTTAATTGATGCAAAACTTGTTAAACTTGATTCTGACTTATTTTCAATATTATTAGATGTCTCATCTGAAAATGCTTTTGTATAACTAGAATGATCATAATAAACTGTAGCTTTAAAAACGACAGTTTTCATTGCATCCGTGTTTCTATGTTCATGAACAAAAATTTGACTAGTAATCGTTTCTTGAGAGGGCCTTTGAAGTATCTTTCCTTCCTCCAGTTGGAGCGAATCAATGTTTATCGTGTTAGCTTTAAAATAAATATAAATTGTTTTTGATGTACGAGGTTCCATAGTAAATATGATTGATGTTTGTGTTTTTTTGTATTTAGGAACTGGAGTTTGTTGTCCATCACTAAGAATATCTGACCTTTCATCCTCGTTATTATTTTCCAATGAAGTATCTTCCTTTATTGGTTCACCTCGTCGTAACCTTGCCAACTTTTTCTCTATTTTTTTCACCTTTTCTTCTTGTCCTTTACGTCTTGCAATTTTTACTTTCTGTTCAAGGTTTTCAATTTCTTCTTCCGCCTCTTCGCTAAGAAGTCCACTGTTTACTAAAGATCCATCATTGTCTTCCTGAAGTGCAAAATTTAGTTCACCGCTGCACCATTCAAATTTAAGATCTTGTGGATCAACGCGAACCTCTAACGTAATACGAGATAGTTTGTTTATATTGGTAATCGTGAAGTGCTGATCTTGCAATGCATTTTCATTAATGAAACAAGCTCCAAAATTCATATTCAATGAATTGATAAAAAAATTGGGTGATTTCTTTATATTAGCCTTAACCGAAAGCACCTGATCATTATCTCGATCTTGGATATTCTCGATTACTAACTTTTCATGAAATTGTCCGGGAAGACTTGGATTAAATGTGAATTCTACTACTTTTTTACCATACCCACGAACAACTCCCATACGCCCGGTATAAAACACGATGCAATCTGAAGAAAATGATCCCGATTTTCGGATGTTATATAATAAGGGAACTTCACTTCGATTTTGTATGGGGATTTTTTTACTTCTTCGCTCGTTTTTATCCATATTTCCAAAATTAATATTCTTTTGACCTAAATACATAATTGAACTACACATAGTCGTATTAACCATAAGTTCTCTAACAGGAATTTGACTTTGATCACCTCGTAACAAAACATCAAATTGTGGCTGTTGAATTTCTCTGTCAAAATCGATAAGACGAATGAAGATCTTAGCATCATATTTTTTGGGAGATCCTTGAATTGTTGGTCTTAATTGTCTCTTTGGGGTGAAGACTACTATTATCTGACTTTCCACGTTAGGCGGAATTTCTATCATTTTAATAGGAACAATCTGATTATCTCTTATACGATTCTGTAATTCACGTAAAAGAGTCATTCGTTTATGAACATAAGCTGCTTCAATAGAAGTATTCGGAAATAATGGTGGGGAAGTACCATTATTTTTTTCTAGTATAGCAATTAGTGATTCTATCGGCATATTTGATAATGTTTCTTCTTCATTTATATTAACTGTCCGACTATTTCCTGAGGAAATATTTATCGAAGCGTCATTTTGATTTTCAAAATCTCTTTTTTGCAATTTTTCTTGAGACATATCATTCATCTTATTGTCGTTCAAATTAATTGGGATATTCTTTAACTTTTCAATTGTAGGACTCTTGCCAAGCCCAGGTGAAACCTTTAACGGTCGTCTCCGAGGGGATCGCAAGATTGAAGAACTTGCTAAATCAAGATAAGCTGCGCCTGATAAAGAAGAATCTGATAATGCGCAATCAAGTGATGTATGTGAGCTATGTGATAAACTAGTTTGAATCTTCCCACTAGCATTTAAATTCGCTTTAGTAATGTCAATGTTAGAAGGTTGTTTTTTTAATATTCTCTTATTTCCAATAGACTCTAAAAGTTTTTCACGCCTTTCAAGTTTAGAAGAATTATTCTGTTCAATCTCTCCATTATCAGCAATGTTATAAACTGCATCATTTTGTGTAATCAAGCGAAGGTCTCTGGAATTGGTCGAATCACCGCGTTTTATGAGCTTTTGATACATGACTATCTCGGGTAATAAAGAAGTTATTTCAAGAACCAAATTCTTTGCACTAATATTATGAATTGTGAATGTTCGAACGCTTGGAGAATTTATCACAGTAGGCCCGAAATCAATAAAATTACCACCAGTGGAAGTCAAAATTCGATAAAACAGGGAATGAAAAGTAACCCGTTTCTTGTCTATATTTGTACTTCTAACTTCTAAGATTTGATCGTTATCGCGATTTTGTAAATTGATAACGGTAATTTGCTTTCGATAATCAACGTTAACCTTTCTTGGGTACATATCGAGTTTGACTTCAGTTGATAGTTTCGGCGGAATAACAATTTCATCCCGAGTGCAATTTAGCACTTTTGAAACAAACTGCAATTCTACCCGAGCTGCTAATTCAGATAAGTTAATGATTTTAACAGGAACAGATTTAGGAGTACCAACATCTGTATCTCCAAAATTCACTTCTTTAGGATTCACTTCAATAAAGGAAGTACAGCTCCTAGCTTTACATTGAATAATTTTGCGTTCATATCCATCTAATCTTATATTTGCCGAACTTGAATTGATAGGTGCATATTGTAAAATAATACGAAAGGTTCTTCGCGTTAACCGTCCAGCTTTAAAATTATTAGCGGATGAATCTTTTTCTGGACGATATGAAACTTGAACCGTTTTTTCTCTTCCAGGTCCAAAAACCACCTCTTCAATTTGAGCTATATTATCTGAAGTCTCCTGTTCTAAATTTCCTTTCTCTATGGTATCTTTAATCATGACACTATCTACGTCTGAATCTGTGATATTATTGAAGTGATGTCCACTTGACATTTTTGATGCTTCTGATTCATTTGTATAAGTTAGTCCTTCTACAGAGGATGCTAATCCATCGGTTTCATGAGGAGATGATGGTCTCGAACTAACTTCGCTGCCCATAGAGCTCGTGTTAATAGGAGTATTACTAGTGGTTGTTGTAACACCCGTAATATTTGCAGCATCCTTAAAGTGATGATGCAAGGAAGTCATGTCTTCTGTTTGGTCATCGTTATCTTTTAGATCTATTTTACTATGTTCTATCAAATTGTCTGTTTTCAAATAGAACAAAACCTCCGCACTTTCTGCAGAAAAATGAATTTCTAATGGTACTTCGCTAACATTCTTTAAAATCAACTGTTGTTTACTCCATACTCCTGCACAGCAATCACCAAAGTCCAAAATGTTACCACTACTAACAACTAATGACTCCTCTCTTAAAACTGATCTCACAACTGCATGTATTCTGCTTTGCAAAATATTGGAAGAATCATTTGCATTCTCAATCTGTAAGTCATAATTGAATTCTCCTATTTCTCGAGGTTTAAATGTGACTCTAATTCTTCTATGAGAATAGCTTGGTATTGGCTTATCATCTAGTAATTCACCAGTATCATAGTCTGTAAATTTTAACCAGTCTTCACGCTCAGAATTCGATAGATCTACCGTATTTAAAAACCAATATAGCTCAATTTCGGAACGATTCCATATAGTAAAATCCTTGAAATAAGTACCACCGTTTACACAGTCATCAAAATTAATTCCAGTTTCTCCAACATCGGTCCATAATACTGAACGACAAACTTTAGAACGAAACTTAACAGTAATCTGATAATCTGCTTTAGAAGAGTTACTTATCGATTCGATATCACGAGGAGATATGACTTAAAGAATACAATTCAGAGATATAATATAAATAAAATAAAATTAGCTTTGTCTTTACTTAATAATAAAATTGATAGCAAAGTATAAACATCAGACTGATCGAACCTTGATCAGTTTCATTTGTTAAGGCCAAAGAGTTAGTACTGTAAGAGATTGTATTAGAAAATCCGATATTTGACATTTCCATGTCTTCAACATCCTCTTGCTTGTCGATAATATAGGCAAAAAAAAACAATAGTCCATTGACTTCAAAGAAATCATGAGTTTCATCTTCATCAGACGACTGTGTGAAAACATTATTATTTATCCTTGTTTCATCGTTCTCGTCGGAAATTCCTGTACCAGATATCCCGATAATATCATTTGTTGAAGAAGGCATATTTTGATCTTCCTCAGATCTACGGCTTTTATGATGAGCATCTGGCAGAAAGACCAAAATTACCTTTCGTGAACTTCCCTGAGGAATGATTATTTCGTCTATATGATTCACGGAATTGAAAAGTTGATTGAATTCATGACCATTGACATTGTCACTAAAAGCACTAACTGCAGCTGCTGCAACAGTATTCGTTGCAATATTAATTAACGAGTTATCTAATGAAACATTAAATAATGTATTCTGTTCTTCTTCCGAATTAAGCTCAGACGAAGTTAGTAAATCTGCTTTTTGAGAATCTATGTCGGGAAGATTTTCATTTTTAAGTTGAAACGCGACTTGTGAACCAAGATTAGAACGCAATTTCACTAATATTGTAGATTGTGATACGTTGCGAATTTCAAACCGTCTTAGTGCATGAAGACCATTTAGATAAACTTTTTCTAACGTAAGGCGGCCAGGAATACTAAGTTCGAACAACGGCGTGGAAACTGTTGAGAATGGATTGAATCGTGGAGTGTTAGCTCCACTCACTGCTTGAGAAAACTGGTCAGTCGACATTATTATAATCTTTCTGTTATAATATCTGAAACTAAGCTTGAAATTCTGTAAAACTCAAAATCTTTCGCTGAAAAAGATTATTAAAGAGGGAAATATCTGTTTTTTTTAGCAAACTTATTAAGGGAATATGTTAATAAACGACAGTCAAGAATTGAGCGTATAGTATGCTCTAGCTATGCAAACTGTATATACACGAAACTGCATTGTCTTTTATGCTTGACTTTTCATGAGGACAAATTGGTGTCCTTAAAGTTGCGAGTATGTTCAAGTATTTTCCGGTTTGAAATCGGCGGAACTAATAGATTTATAATACGGTAATGGCTGGTAATTTGGTCATATGATCACCATTTAATCCATAACTACTACCTTCTCAATTTTTTATTTATTTTCGTTTTTTATTTTTTTATTTTTTTTTTTTTTTTATTTTATTTTATATATTTAATTTTATTTTTTTTTTTTTTTATAATAATCTAGGAACAAGTCTTGAAGTCTTTAATTTCGATCGACTCTTTATCAGTCTTAATTAATGAAAAAGACAATCGGGAACTTCCGACATTTCGTGTTCCTTCAGATGTTCCGACTCTAGAAGAACCAGTTACAGATCCTTCTTCTTGGAAAGAGTTGAAAGATGCTACTTTGAACGAAGATTGTATGAAGAAATTACCCTTTCCTATATAATTTATTATTAATACTATTAATTATACTAATAATTACCTTTTCATTTTTATTTTATTAGATGACAATGAAGAGGATGCAGTATTAGCTTCAAATGGAGAACTTAGCGTTCCTCCTTCAACTGCATCCAGACTTAATTATTATGATATCCTTTGTTTTACTAGTTCACTATGAATACCAAAAAGAAAGCTGAGATAATCGTGGCGCAGTAATAAATTTCCTTAACAGCTTTTAAACATATGAAAACATATGGATGTAAACCTTTGAAGGATGAATCAGGTATCGTAAACTGTAACGAATGTTCAAAAAAAGTTTTACCGCGCGGGTTTATTGATCATTCTGGTATTTTGTACTTTTATTTATTTTTTCAACCGTATTTATGCTGATAATAATGATATATGTTAAATTATTACTTATCCATTATAGCTAATTGCGAAAAAATAAAAGCAGAAGCGCTCGAAGCTCAAAACGTGGATATACCTACAGAAGTGTCAAATGCTGACTTAACAGTCAATAAAAATACAAAAAATTCCACTACAGAAACGCATAATTCAAATAAGAAACGTAAGAAGTCAGTTGAAGGTTCGTATATATTTTCGCATTAGTCTGTTAGCCTCTATTTTATTAATGTATATTGTAAATTTTAATGTAGCTGAAATAACTGATACAAAAAGACCTAATTCTCCGATTGCTAAAGCATCTCCTGAGAAAAAACAAAAGACTAAAAAGGAAAAAGAAAAGAAGAAAACCACGGGACGTCATAAAGGTTACAAATTATATTCAATTTAATAAATAATTTTGCTAAACTTTTGATCGGATGTTAATCTTATATTCTTAATTTAATTTAGGACCTATTGATCTGGATAAGCAATGTGGAGTAATTGTGCCACCTAATAATACACCTTGCACGCGTTCATTAACTTGTAAGAGTCATTCGATGGCCTTGAAACGAGGTGTATTAGGTAGATCACAATCATATGATATCCTACTTGCTCAGTATCAGAAAAAGTCTATAGGACGCCCTCAGAGTAAGTTTACGTTATCTATGCATTTTACATTTAAATATTATATTAATTTATTTTGTATATTGAAGATAATGGTGTGCCAAATAATAAGCAAGACAATACGAAGAAAGATGGAAAAGTAGTTGTCCCCGAGAAGGAGGAAGAGGTTGTTGATTCTGAAGAAGAAGTTGACGCTGTCATGGAAGCAATAATGTATAGTAATCCTCGGCCACTTGTGACGCGATCGACATCTTATGTTCCACAAAGAAGTAATTACTTCATTTATAATGACATTAATGAAATTCTCCCGAAAGGAGTTGCTTAATAACTTCATAAAGTTTTACCGATTTTTGAATTATACACGAGTTTTGCACACAATTTAAACTAGTTGCCTCAAGTAAACTTTTTTATGTAAGTGTCCATCGTTTCAAGAATAATAATTTCATACTTTTATTTAATACGTTCTTATTGTCTTGAACTTTAGTACAAAATTATTATTCATTTGAAGAAATCCCTATTGAATGGATGCTTGCAGGTCATATTTTAAGCAAAGTAAGGTAAAGTCTAGTTGTAATTATCCTTGTCAATTCTCAGTTTATTACACCAAATTATATGGACTTTAATAAATAGAAATCACGTGAAACTGAATGATTATTTTATGTTTTTCTCAAGTTGAGACACATGTTTGTCCAGATAACTTGAGATTTGTTGTAACATTTCTACTTTTACGTCATCTGGAACGGCCTCTATGAATTAATTTATCCGATAAAAAATTCAAAAAATCAAGAGCTGATCGACCATATTAAGCAAATAAATTTTATATATAAAAATTTTACCTCGGCCATGTTTTAATACGTATTCTTCAAGTTGATCTAATTTGATATTTTCAACTCCTTCAGTTCTTATCTTATCTAATAATAAAAGAATAAATATTTTTTTTTAAAAAAAAAAAATTAATTCAACTTAATACAAACCTACACAACGTTTTTTAATTTTATCTTTCCATCCACAATCTCTAAGTCTTTTTGTCAGTAATCTTTTTAACCTATTTTAAAATTAGAATAAATTAAATATACACCACATGTAATAAAACATCAGTTTACTTTGAGAAACTTTGAGAAAATAGTTAATACTTGTTCCTTTCTTGCGTTTCAAGAATTCTGCTTTTAAGTTCACTTGCGAGTTTCTGTTCGTTTTCAGACTCTGACATCGGTGTAAAAAAAAGTATTAACAAAAAAAAAACTATTGGTACTTCATTTAGAGAATGTAATACGACTTGACTACACATTCATTGAATTTTATCGTCATGTGACATCCTTTACGATAAGAAATTTACAGCTTATATCACTTATTATTTTATTTGGCTATTACATAAATTTGAAATAGACTTTTTTAGGTTTAGTTTTTCACAAAACAATTATGACTACCTTAAAAAAAAAATATCAAAGATGCAGGTTAATGATTGGTGGATATTATACGAGCACCTTTTCTTATTCCAAAAAAAAAGTATACGTTTTTTTTTAAAAAAAAATGAGTTTGTTAGCTTCGAGGTATTTAAGACGAACCTTTGGTTTGTCACGATCTACCCCAATTGTACGTAATTTTACTGCTTCCGGACCAGTCAAAGGTAACTAACTATTAAATCTAAAACATATATTTGTTATTGGAATTTTAATTTATTTCAAATTAGATATCATTCAGGATTTATACGTTAAAGAAATAAAGGCTTATCAACCTCCTTCAGCGGTAATTTTAAAACATTAATTTCATTCTGTTCAATTCTCACATCCATTCGATAGTACGTTGACACTATCATTTATTTAAAAAGGCAGCTGGTTCAGAAGTTGGCCAAGTGAAAAAATTAAGTTTATCCACCTCTGAGGTAACAATTCTATTCATCTATTAATCAAAATAAAATGATTATATTCCTAATTTATTATATTGCTAAAGCCACCAAAAATAGATGCAGATGTCTCTTCAGAATTGACGGCTTATGAAACTGAAGAAATTCCGCCACCTGAAAAAATTCTTGCAGCTCAATCTCTCGAAAAACAAATATTCACTGAAAAAGAAAATGTTCATGCTCATTAAATTATAATGTAATATTTTCAAATCAAATATAAAAACTTTTTGATAACGATGTTTATCATTTTTGGACTCGCTTAATGAAAAATAAGAAACTTTTTGATATAATTTTATAAATTAAATTATATTTATATATTTCCATTTATTAACCTCCTTTTGCAACCACTTTTTTAAGTTCTTCAATTTGTTTTTGATATTCTTCCGCACGTATATGTCTTTTCTTCAATAATGATAATAAGAATTTTACTCGATGTTCTACAGGTTCAGGTACATGTCCACTACCAAATAGCCATTTACCATCTGTTTTAACAAATAATGATCCCAATTTTTCAAGTTCATCTTCAAACTTTTTAATTTTGTTATTCTCTATTGATAAAAGATATTCAGCTGTTTGAAGTTCCATAGTCGCTGCAAACAAACCATCAGAAATTATTTCTGTGAAAGCTGCTTGATAAAGCGGTTTACCAGGTTTTATAGTATATGGGCGTCCTAAAATTGACAAATAATTTAATTAAAAATTTTTCAACTAATATTTAATATAATTCTTACCATTTGTCAACTGGGTAATGGATATTAATTCAGCTTGTTCCATAGCTCTGATCGGAGTATCATCTCCGTTAAATATTGGTGAAAATTTGACAGCATCATATGATAACTATTATATGAAAATCATTAATTATTAAGTATTTACACTAAAAAGACAATAAAGTAAAAAATATTTGAAATCATACAGATTCTTCACTAGATAATTCCTTCATTACTTTCCAGAACTGTACACCACTCCAAGAAATAGTTTTTGCATCCTCACTATCATCACCAAATGCAAGTTTACGAACATCAATTATTGCTTTAGCAACAAGATCTTGCAATGCGTCTATAAAATAATACAATATATAAATATGTATAATATTTATATAAATACATTTAATAGAAAATGGATACCATTTGGTTTTTGTCCACTACGTATTTTGTTGATAAAAAGTTTCAAGTCCGTTAAACGACCACCAAGCGCACCAACAGCTGCTTCTAATCCTTCAAGATTTTTGTTATGTACATGACGTTTCACCAAACCAATTGCTCTTTCATGAGGAGCATCCGAAAGAACAGCATAATTAAATGTCTTATTTGGAAGAGCTACAAAAGAAAATACATTAATATTAAGTTTAAATTAGAAATTTATATGAAGTATAATTACCTCGACTTAGGTGCTTGATAATTCCAATGTTTGAACTCACAAATACTACATGAGCAACTCTATTTTCAACAAGCAAAGCTGCTAATTTTGCCAAATGATCCCAAAGTTCATGACTTTCCTTATCTTTAGTCATATAAGCATCAATCACTACAATAGGAATTTCCGCTGAATCATAAGATTCAACCATAGGAGATTCAAGATAATCGCGTGATTTTTTGTGAGCGTACCATGACTTCTTTGTTAAAGATTCAGGTGCAATATCATGCAAAGCAATTGTAAGAGCATCAAGGATTTTCTTAATTTCGGTATCAGTAGTTGAGGAGAATCCAACTAAAAAAAAAATCGTAAATTTGAGTTTTTAAATAAAAGTTGTTTTCGTCAATAAACTAATGAATACCCGTTTTCTGCCCAATAGTTGCACTGGCTAATCCATCAACCAAATTTGATAAGGAAACCATAAGTGTGAAAACAGGGAAATATCCGACTTGTCTTGCTAACTTAGACACAAGTTCATTTTCATCTCGAGAATTAAGGATAACATCGCATTTAATAAATACTTTATTTCTATCAACAAAAACATTAATTAAATAAATCATGACATGGAATGAAACAATTTTAATTAGAAAAAAAGTAAAATTTTCACCTCTTTTCCTGTATAATTTTATTGATAAGACTACTTTTACCACTACCATTTGGACCAAGTAAAACAATAAATGTTTCTATTCAATAAGAAAAAAGTCAATCGTTCGTTGAGATGATTTCACATAACAATTATTGTTTAACAAAAGTACCTGGTGGTTCTTTGAGCCAATTTCGTAACTTGGATTCTTCCTGTTCTCTTTCCTTCCAAGTACTAAGATCTTCAAAGGATTCATCATTATCATCTGACTTTTCACGAAAAGCCATCAATCGGTCAATCGTCTCCTTCCTAAGCCATTGATATAAGCGATTTTCCTGAATGTTGAACCGTTGTGTGGTTTTTGATGTAATGAAGAAGACGCGGATAGGATCAAAACTACATAAAGTTATAATTCATAAACTCCAAATCCTATTTAAATTGATGTTTCAAAGTTATAATTAACTCACATAGTATAAGTTATACCAGCGACTGTGGCAGCAATAAGTGGAACCTATATCATAAGCAGTATAATTAGTTATTAGTACATAATATATATAAATAATTAAAGTCTTTAGAAGCCTTTAGAAAAAATAACATTAACTCACGGTAATTCTTGGATGAGATGCCATCCAATTGTAAACCATGTTCGTTTTCTATTTAATTTAGTTGAAAAAATACTTTACAATTATGAAATATATTATGTAATTTATTAATTGATTCCATAAATTCTTACAAGAGGCATGTCATATACAATGTTCAATCTCGTGGCATTCACGAACATTCCATGTATGCAATTTTTGGCACTGGTAGCTGATCGCATTTTCGAGTATTGTATCATTGCATATCGTGGAAGATCTTTAGAAGATTCCGGCAATAAGCTTATGTCACGAATTAAGCCATAAGGTCGAAAATGTTCATAAAGAGTTTCCTGGCAATATAATATAATTAAGTTGTTTCAATTATAAAAATATTGATTGATCAAAAAATATAAGGATAACGCATACAATTGGAATATCTGGCCCTTGAAATTCAACGCGTAAACGGCTATAATAATTGAATACTGTATTAATTTAATATTAGAAAGTTTAAATTTCATTCACAAACATCCTAACCTTGCAGGATATCTATTAGATAAATCTTCAATAAATGGTTCTCCCTAATTAAAAAATTTTGTTTTATTAATTATTTAATACGCTATTAAATTTTTATAAGTATTTAACTCAAATTAAATTATGTACTTTAACTAAATAAGCCTCGGTCGGACGAACATTGAACCATGGTACAATACTCTTATCTTTTAAAAAAGTTTGTACTTTTTGAGTTATTTCTTCCAATGCCTTCTTTTTTTGAGCTGGATCAACTCGAAAAACAAAGTTAACAAACATTCCACCCTCTTTTTTTCTAATACAGTAATCCCATTATTTTATATAAATTTATTGTGTATTTTTTTTATTAAATAAATTTTCAATATGTACTCAATTAAAATTAAAATACCTTGGTTCTACACCTTTAATATTAAAATTGTAGGGCATTTCACACTCAGCAGGAATCCATTTTCCTGCTTTCAATTTTTCCTCTAGTCTTGTTCTATTCGATCTAACTAGAAAATGCCGAATATCAAAAGACCCTATTTTAAGGGGATACACATTGTCATAATAAAATCGGCCATTTCCGATCTGTTCAATAACAAATGATTAAATAATTCACAGAAAAATTTATCTTTTATTAAAATTAAACATACGGAATCTGTTTCTGTTGCTGTTTCAGTGGTAGAAACTTTATGACGCGTGAAAACTCGTTGCTTTTTTAGCGGGGAGATTGTAAGAGAACGAGACAAATGTAAAAATGGTTTATAAATACTATCATTGCGAGAAAATATTGTTTTGGAATTGCTCGTTTGAAACTGAAGGACTCGAAACATCGTTCCGAAACAAATTCTTTTCTTATGTGTGACCAGCACTAATTATTGCAAAATCTATCACTCATTTCGCGTCATCATTCATTCACCAAAGAATTTAGATAATCTTAAAACATTCACGTGAATTTACAATTTGATAAAATGTGTGGAAGTTGTACCAATAAAATTGATCCACGTCCAAACAGTGTCCAAACGACCAAACGAGCATGGATTAATTAATTTATATAAAATAAAGTTTTCTTAAACCAGATCGCTAATTTACAATGCGACAAATTTTAAGCATTGTTATCCTCGTGTTTGTGGCCTTAATCCTTGTAGAATCGAAATCTACAACTGGCCCTCGCGTGTTAGTTTTACTGGATAATGAAGATGACAAAAATTTATACACAAAGTTTTTTGGATCTTTGGAAGGTGAATACTACAGCTTTTGATAATTCTTTTTTTATTTTATGCTTAATAAGATTTCCATTTTATTTCCGAATTTAGGACGCGATTATATAATTACTTATAAAACGACGAAAGATCCAAATCCTTCTATTGAATTATTTTCCTATGGGGAACGTGTTTACGACCATTTTATCAATTTTGCACAAAAAAAAGGTACTCTTCCTTTAACTTTAGTTTTCAATCTTTTGTTTTTTTTGCTTACACTTTGATTATTGGTTCTAAAGTTAAAACAGATAGCATAAATCCCACCTCTCTCATAAACTTTATGAATGATGGAGGCAACTTACTATTGGTAATATCTTCAGAAATAACAGAAAATATCCGAAACTTCGCTCGAGAACTCGATATTGAAATTGACGAACGAGATACTTCTGTAATAGATCACTTTAATTATAATATTTCTGACGATGGAAAGCATACACTTTTAGTTTCAAGTAATGTCGTTAATAATGAGGCCATTTTGAGTAAAGAAGTTATTGAAGGACCTCCTGTACTATTTAGAGGCATAGGGCATAAAGTAGGACCAGTACCATTATTAACTAGAATCCTGTGGGCTAATGATACTGCTTACTCATATGAGACTGGAGATGATCAGGTAGTGGATCGAGAACCACTAGCAATTGGTAATAGTATTGGTCTTATATCAGCACTACAAGCAAGAAATAATGCAAGAGTTACCTTGGTAGGAAGTTTGGAATTTTTCAGTGATCGGTGAGATTATTAAATCTTGCGTTAAATTTTGATGTGTTGAGAAATTAAATTAAAAATGAGTTTTTAAATTTTTCTCTTAGATTTTTTGACTCACCGGTTCAAAAACCCAAATCATCTGAATCGTAAATATGCTTTTTTGTAAAATTTTCTTTTATTAATGAATAGATTTAATTTTCTAACAAAGATATAATTACTAAAGATACTACAAATCAGGCAATGAGGCATTTGTCAATGATTTGGCAAAATGGACCTTTCAAGAAAAAGGAGTTCTCCGTGTTACTTCACGACTACACTATAAAGACGAAGAATATGAACAATTGGAGATATATCGAATAAAAGATAATTTCGTAAGATATTTATACACATATAAATCTTTATAATGTAATGGTATTTGATTATCTAATTTTTTTTTTCTTTACAAAATTCATTTATATATTTCACAAGACTTATACCATAGACATTTCTGAGTATGTTAATGATCAATGGCAAGCATTTAATGGTAATGATGTTCAATTAGAATTGATCATGCTTGATCCATACATTCGAGTAAATCTTACAGCACTTCCAACAACAATAGAACATCAGGAAATTCAAGCTCGTAGATACAAAGCACATGTTCAACTGCCAGATGTATATGGAGTATTTACACTTAAAGTAAATTATAAGAGACCTGGATATACATATATAGTTGATACTACTACGATAACTATTAGACATTTTAGACATAATGAATATCCTAGATTTATATCAGCGGCATATCCATATTATACTGGAGCGGCTTCTATGGGAATTGGGTTCTTATTATTTTGTTTCATTTGGATTTTCAATAAGGATGCTGGAAAGTCAACAGCAGAAAAAAAGAAACTCAATTAATAAATTATTTTGCTGTAAAATATTAAAAGTATATATTATAATAAATTTAATAGATACATGATCTTGAATTATTAAACTTTCAATATAATAAAATGATATCTTTCATTGAACAATTTAGTCACAAATATCTACTTCAAAACAAACACAAAATTGAATTACATTTGTAAAATATGGGTAGATTGATCATTAAATATCAGATATTATCAAAAAAATATTCTAATTAGTTCAAATCATCATAAATATTTTTCCTTTATTCTTTAATTACTATACATGAAGTTTCAAATTACTTCATGATATTAATAATTATATTACAAAATTTTATTCTTAACTACAAAAAAAAAAGTTAAATAAGAAGTTTTTTCTATTATAAAAATAAATAACTTATCATTACCTTATATTTAACTGCCTTTTCTATTAAGTATTAATTCATAATTGTGTTTTAATTCATCAATTTGTTTTTGATGTTTCTTTGCACGTGCAAGGCTTTTCTTTAATTGTAATAACAAGAATTTAACCCGATGATTAATGACTTCATGACCATTACCAAACAACCAACTAAATGACCATCTACTAGACCATTTGTTATTCCATTTACTATCTATTTTAACCAATTTTTCAAGTTCGTCTTCATATTCTTTAATTTTACTATTCTCAAGTGTTAAATAATATTGGGCCGTTTTATATTTCATTTTTGTTTCAAATAATTCATCAGAACTTATTTCTGCAAAGACTTTTTGGTAAAGTGGTTTACCAGCTTTTATTATAGAAACTGTAGATTCTAAATTAACAAATTTAATTTAATAAATTAAAAACTATTTTATAAAAACTCTATAATTATAATGTATAAATTCTTACCTTTTGGTAACAGTGTTATAGATATTAATCCAGATCGTTCCATAGCTTTGATGGGAGTATCATCATCATCGAATAACGGCGAAGATTTGACAATATCATAAAATAACTATTATTATACAAATTAATATCAAATTACAAGATATACACGAAGAAAAAAAGTAAAAATCCACATATTATGAAATATTTTATGCTAAAAAATATACGTATTGATATACATACGTATTCCTTTTTGGATAATCCTTTCATTATTTCCCAAAATTGAATATCACTCCATTCCTTGTTCGCTACATGTTCAAAATCGTCACGAAATGCAATTCTATAAACATCAGCTTTTGCTTCACTAACAAGGTTATTCAATGCATCTACAAGGAAAATATATAATTTAATTACGGTATAAATAATAGAAATTACAAAAAAAAAATGAATTTAATAGTAAACCATGAATTAAATACCATCCGGTTTTGTTCCATTCCGTATTTTGCCAATAAAAAGTCCCAAATCTGTTAAGTGCATACCAATGCTACTAACAGCTTCTTTCAAACCTTCAGGAATTTCGATGTTTTTGTCACGTGCATACTGGTCCACCAAATTAATAACTTCTTCCGGTTCATGCAAATCTAGTGTATTTACTTGCATTGAAGGAGCTAAAAAAAAAAAAATTTTTTTATATTAATAATAAACTAAGTTTATAGAAGATAGAATATTAGGTTAATTTACCTTGATTTCCTAGATGATTGATAATACCGATGTTTGAACTCACGAATACTACGTGAGCAAGTTTGTTTGTAACAAGTTCACTCGCAAATTTTATCAAAAGTTCCCATAAATCATGATTTTCCTTATACTTAATCATATAAGCATCAATAACTACAATAGGAAATTCATTTTCAGAATTCTGAGCGCGCCGTGATCTCCTGGTCTTATATAAAGCATTTTCAACCAAATCAAGGACTTTCTTGACAGGATCATCAACAGTTGAAGGTAATCCAACTAAAAAATATTACATTTCATGTTATTAAATGTTCAAAAGTTTCATAATTATTTTCATCGATAAAATTGATAAATACATATTTTATGTCCTATAACTTCATTAGCCAATAAACTCCCTAAATTTGAAAAGGAAATTACAAGGTTGAATGCAGAGGAGCATCCAACTTGTTTTGCTAATTCTAAAGCACGTTCATTTTTATTTCGAGAATCGATGATATCATCACATTTTATATATAATGTATTCCTATTAATAATTTAGAAATTATGTTAATTAGACAACAAAAAAGTAATTTCAATTAGACAAAGTAAAAAACTTTTACCTCTTTCCTCGTAAAATTTTATTAACAAGGGCACTTTTACCACTATTAGTTGGACCAAGCAAAACGATAAAATTGTCTAATCAATACAAATATAAGGTTGGTTCACTTAGTTATTGAAACAATTTCACATGACAACTATTTTTTTTCCTTTTTTAAAAAAAGAGTACCTGGTGGATCTTTCAACCAATTTTGTAATTTTTCTTCTTGTTCTTTTGTACTAAAATTAAAAATCTCCTCTTCTGGTTTTTCACGAAAAGTCGTAAATAGGCCACTTGTTTTCTCCCTAAGCTGTTGATACAAGTGATAATATGCAATTCTTGTTCTAACAAAGATATAGCAGATAAAATTCAGGCCATAAGTTATACCGACGACTACAGCAACAGCAACGAATGGAATAAGTGGAATCTTGTAATATAAGCAGTATAATTATTAATACACAAATATTGTATATATTGTTCAACTTATTAAAACATAAACCTACCGAAATTGTTGAAAGTGTCGGATGATTTATTATCCATTTATAAATCCTGAACATTCGCTAATTGATAATATGATGTCAACATATTACATACAACATTTTTTTTTAAAAAAAGTTTAAACTTGATCACAATAAATTCTTACAACGGGACTATCATATAGGATATTAAATCTCGCGCCATCAACAATCATTCCATGTAAGCAATTTTTGGCGCAGATAGCTGATCTAACTTTTACGTATTGTACCAATGCATATCTTGAAATATAATTAGAAGACGCTGGAAAAAGATTTATGTCACGAATTAAACCATATGGTTCGAGATATTTATAAAGGGTTTCCTGGGATATATAATGTCAATTTGTTTATGTTTATAATTATAATAATTTTTCCTATAAAGCTAAAGATAAAATACTTACGGTTAAAACATCCGGTCCTTGAAATTCGATCCGTAAACGGCTGCAATAATTGAATTACTTTAAATGAATACATAAAAATATTTGATCAAGAAACTTTAAACCATATATATCCTAACCTTACTGGGTATCTATCAACTAAATTCTCAATAAATGGCTCTCCCTAATGAAAAGAATTTCATCTTGAAATTAATTACCAATAAATTATTTAATTAATATAATCATTAAAGTATATGAACCTTGACCAAATACGCATTAACATTGAACCATAGTACATCATGTTTTTCTTTTAGAGAAGTCTGTACTCGTTCAATTATTTCTTCCAATGCCTTCTCTTTTTGAAATTGATTGGCTCGAAAAGTAAAGTCAACAAACATTCCATCCTCCTTTTTTCTTAACATAGTAATCTCAATTCATTATTTTGATAAGGAAAAAATGAAAATTAACATTATTCTATTAAACATACCTTATTTTTACTCCTTCAATCTTGAAATTGTGAGGCATTTCACTCTCGGTAGGAATCCACTCTCCTGATTTTAATTTTTCCATTAGTTTTTCTTCGCTCGGTCCACTTACAAAACGTCTAACATCAATAGGCCACCTTACGGGAGTAGTAATTCTCATATTATCATAATTGTCAAAATAAAGTTGTCCATTTTCGACTTCTTCAGTCTATTAAATGATGATAATCCTTTTTTTTAAAAAAAAAAATTTTATACGATATACTTTATTTTTGAAAATAAAAAACAACATACGCCTGCTAAAAAAGCAAATAACTTATTACGCGCGAAAACTCGTTGTTTTTGTACGTGAGAAAAGATAAAGAAACGAGAAAAATTTGATATTGGATTATATGTACAATTAATTTCACTACGAGAAAGTATTATCTTTGAGTTTGTCGTTTGATTTTGAAGGATTCGAAACATTGTTTTAACAGGGAAGGAGCGTGGTTAAATTTTTAATCATTTTCCCATTTTCCGAGTAAAGGTCATTGCTGATTTGCTGATAATTATTTCAGATGAGATAATGAAATTAGGTTTTTTAGTATGACGATCCTCCAATTTTGACTTTTTGTGCAATGGAACAACAGTAGACAAATATATTTTTTATCGTTGATAAAAATAAAATTCCTTAATCCCTATGTTTAGAGTTTATCAAATAAATTCTTTTACGTTTTCTTTTAAAACAACTTTCAAATTATTTTTTAAATATCGTAGGATGTCTACCTCAACGGTATTTATTAATTAAAATTTTCTTATTATATTTTTTTTTCTTTGAAAAAATTTTGGTCATTAAATTTAAATATAAAAATACAGAATAATTCGGGAAAAATATTATCACATGTCGATCCCGGAAGTTTGAATTATATCATATATCACAAGGATTGTTGTAAGTACAACTATCATAGCCTTTTACTTTTTATATCAAATCAAAAAATCATTTTAATTAAGTAAACTACTATATAATTCTTAGCTGATGGATTTGGTGCAGCTTATTCAGCATGGACTCGACTTGGTGCTAACGCGACCTACTTTGCAGCAGCGCATGGTGCAGAAAGACCTTCTGATTCAGAAATCAAAGGAAAACGTATTGGAATGTTTGATTTTTCATATTCCAATTCAATTATTAAAGAAATTGAAAAACAAGCCGAATTGTTGATTATAGTGGATCATCATATTACTGCTAAAGGAGAATTAATTGGAAGGGGAGATGAAAAAGAACGGAATTATCATTTTGATATGGATAAAAGTGGTGCTAGATTAGCTTGGGAATTTTTTTATCCTAATAAAGAAGTTCCTTTACTAATTCGTCATATTGAAGATAAAGTGAGCATTTTAAGTTTTTTTGGTATTATTTATTATTATTTGTTTCATTGAGGAATGTGGTTATAATTTTTAATTTAAAATTTTTTATTAGGATTTGTGGAGATTTGCGTTGCCTAATACGAAAGAATTTTCTGCTTATTGGCATAACGTACCAAGGGAATTTGAAACTTATGATCAATATGTTAAAGATGAGGTTTGTATAAAAGTGATTTATAGTGGTGATTAATAATTATCAATTTTAATTTTATATATGAAAATAAATAGGGATTGATCAAGAAAGTAATAGAATCTGGTACACACATATTAAATTATAAAAATGAAGTAGTAAAACAGCTGGTTGAAAAACATGCTGTAAAACGTAATCTAACATTAACAGTAAATCAATTACCCGCTTCGCCCAATAAGCCTCCACAATCTGTTACCAAACAATTTGTAGTATATATTATAAATAGTATAATAATGCAATCGGAACTAGGGAACGCATTAGCTAAAATAGAAGATGCGGATTTTGGATTAGTTTGGAATTATGATGCAAAAGAGAAACAATACGTTGTTAGTCTAAGAAGTTTAGATGAAAAAGCCGATGTATCACAAATTGCCAAAGTATTTGGTGGAGGTGGACATAGGAATGCTTCTGGTTTTATTTGGGAAGGTGAAACCATTGAAAGTATTTTTGATTATGATAAAACTGCTAGCGAAGTTTGGTACATGTAAAAGAAAGGGTAAATTTTTTATTTCTTGTAAGTTTATAATGTTATTTACTTTTTTTTTTAATAAAAATTACATAACATTTTGATGGAAAGATGAAATTGTATGTATACATAAAATTGAAGGTAACAATTTATAAAATAAATGTCTAATTAATAAATCTATTTGTAGTATTTCCTCCTTTGATTGTTAATCCAATGATTCATTTTTATGAGAAGGTAAAACATGATAACGACCTTTCTTATCCTCACTAGTTTTACGTATTTTATAATAATTGTATCCAGCAATTCCAAAAATGGATATAACCAGCCTAAAAAAAATATGTATGTAAATTAAATTAATTTCACTCATTCGTTAAAATTATCAAATTAAATATTAAGGAAAATTCATATACATACCCAAGCAGATTTATAGGAGTTAATACATCATGATAAATTAGTACAGACAAAGAAATAACAAGAATTTCTTTACTAATACCAGCAACAGATAAAGTAACAGTACTAGTATTTTTAATGAGAGCAAATTCAGCAATAGTCATACAAAAAGCTAAAAATCCTCCCAAAAACATCAATAAAAAAGTTTCTATCCCTGTATTAACATCTTCAAAATGTTTTGAAGTTCTAAATATGAATAAAGGGTTTTCAAATATTAAGGATAATATAATCATAAGAATGAACATTATTGGTGAAACGTAATATAATGTTGCTACTGGATTATTCATTCCTTCTTCTTTTTGTAAAAGCATTTGTGTTAATGACCATCTTAATCCGCTTACAATTGCCGCTCCTAATACTAAAAGAAATCCCGTTAAATTAAATTTTGTTTCTCCCGCAACCGTTAAGATAACCCCAAAACTTATAATCGATATTATAAAAATAAGAATCAATCTTGGTTGTTCTAATCCAAATATAAACGCAAACACTAATACCCATATTGGTGTAGAAGATTTTATCTAATCAAAGAGTAGGGATTTAATAAAACTTCAAAATAATAAAAATAACAACAATAAATAATAATAATTTTTACTTTTAGTAATATTTACCATAGTATAAAAACTTAGAGTGATAAATACAAAAGAAGCATTTGCCATACATATTTCCAACGCTGATGCTATGGCACAAGGAACCTAATTAATTATAATCACTTGATTTATCATAAAAAAAAAAAAAATCACCTCACATTTGAAATGTTGTTCTCCCTTCTATTTAATTAAAAAGATTTTAACTTACCACACGAGTAAAATAAGAACGAACAGAAACGGATTTACCTTCGGGTTTTTTAAAAATACAAGAACAATAACCATTCATCAAAATTGAAGTAATAATAAAATGCATACCAGTATGCATTGCACTTATAAGTAAAGGTAAATTTAAATTGAAATTTTCTTTTCCCATTAAATTCTTATTATAAAATGATAACGCAGTACTAAAAAAATACCAAGCTAATATATAACTTAAATTTTTAAATATATCCTCCCAGCTAATATTAAGTGATTCACCATTACTTTTCGTATCTAATTCTGATAAGAAATTTGACACCGTATTATTTGGACGATCTATTGTTATCACCGAATCATTTGGAGGTATAGTAGTTAAAGTATTGGAAGTTGATGAATTTATACCCAAATTTGAGGAAATCAACCCAGAACCTGCACCTTTTACACTATCACCGCTTCCTCTTCCAACAGAAGTAGATCTTGCTGTTGACAGTTGTGAAGCATTAAAATTATCCTCTTTATTATGATTTAACGGTTGAAGACTAATCACATCAACATCTCCCATGATTATTTTAATAAATAACGTACGATTTTTATAAAAGCGAAAAAAAGATCTATTATTTTAACAATTAAGTAAAGGCGTATCTTAGTAAGAAAGCTAACACATCATCAAAGATTCAAAAAGATGCAGATCGCAGCAGTGTAACAAGTCACAAGTGTAACGTGTTAAAAATTTAATGATATTGTCACACAACTTTTCTTTCGCGATGCTCGAATATATGCAGATTAAGACCACTAAGAAATTCTAAGGAAATTGGGTACTTTGAAGATTATTGCGATTATAGTAATTATAGTGAACAGCCCCCAAAATACTCAGCCATTATGAACTTGAAAAAATCTGGCATTTAAGGTTTACTCATTTAATCAGAATCAATAAAGATAAATTAAATTTTCAATTTCAGATTAGAGCAAATAAAGCAATGAAAGTAATAAAGGCTCATCATCTGATTTAAACCGAAAATTCGGGGCATGAAATAGAAATTGAATTATGGAATTTTTGAAAATCACATGATCACATGATATGGTACAAAAATCTATTATTAGGTTTATTATCATTAAAGATAATACTTATATCATAATAATAAAAAAGCAACTTTATTTTCCCTAATATCAAAATATCCATTGTTCATCCCTAAACTTGTTTATATTATGTTAATTGTACGACGAAATAATAATTGTTTCATATTATCTGAGTTAAAGAAATTAATTTTCGTCATCAAAAAGATTTTACTTTACTACAGGGGTGGGAGGGAAACAAATAAAGTTTTGGCGCAATCGCAACATATTTTTTAAAAGGAAAACCCTTTTTTTTCAATGATCTTCCAAAATATATTAGTATATTTCATTTTATAGTAAAAACAGTAATAAACTTCCGTAATTGTAATTTTGAAATCAAATAAATTTTTCTTAAACAGTTTAAAACTCGATTAAAAGGATTCGTATTAATTCAGAGAATGGTTATGATTGTCTTAGTTTGTGGATATTTACTTACTAGGTAAAATAAAATAGATGTATGTTCGGAATTTATTTTTTCTGTGTTTTCCCTTTTTAAGATTTGTATAAAAATGTATAAAAAGTATTTAATGTCCAGATTATTGAAACAATTGATGCTTCTCTTCTTCTAAAAAAAAAAAAGAAAAAAAAAAAAAATTTCATCTTTTATATTTTATATATATTTTATATACTTATATATATATATATTTACTTTTATATTTTATCATGTTCATTTTATTTTATTAATGAAAATATTATTATTATTTTTTTTTCTTTTTTTTTTTTAAACAATTGATTATCCTTTTTCCCCCCATCCCCTTATTTTTTTTTTTTCTGCATTGTAATCAAAACGGAAAGGTTTTAAATTTGTATATAAAAAAAAAAATTTTCTTATTTTATAAAAAAAATTAGCCGATTAAATTTTTATTTTCAAATTAAATCGGTTCGAAAAGAAAAAGTTTCTTAAAAATTCTTAAAAAAATTTCGCTCAAAAAAATTATATTTCTGTGTTGATCACAAAAACGAAAAACGAAATTTATATAAATAATGGAATTACAATATCTTAGTCACCTAGTATCATTCTTACTGGGTTTAGCATCGATGGTAAGTTAAAATTCTTTATTAAACTATAATTCATTCAATGATCAATGCTAACCTTTTTTCTCTCTTTTTTATCTTTATTCTTTCCTCTACTTCTTTTTTTTCACTTCCCTCACTTCCCTCACTTCCTTCACTCCTTCTTTCTTCTCACTCTCTTCGCTCGACTTCTTTCGCTCTCTTTTTCTTCTCTCTCCCACCACCCTCTTTTCCACCTTCAAATTTTAGGCATATTTTCATAATGTTTTCGTATCGATATTTTTGTATAAATCCGGCCATCCTAATGTAAATGTATCAAATATGTTAAAAATAATATTTAATTTAAGCGGAGTATCACGTAGCGTAATAACTTATGTAACAATAATGGTAGTGGCTCAATGTCCATTATTAAATGATTTAAACGCTCTATCAAACTTTTTTTATAGATCATCATTATCAGCTTTTTTATTATGGAGACTTAAACAAATTGAATATTCTACTTGGGATAGGTGGATAAGTTTTGGACTATTTTTTATTAGAACAATATTAAATATTTTGGCTATAAGTATATTTCGTTATCCATCTACTTTGGCTGGAGGTATTGAAATTTCTTGTAAAATAGTTAATGAAAAATCAACTTTTTTTCAATTGGGTTTTATCTGTTTGGATTTTATAATCGACATTTTTGTTACTATACGTTTGGTACAAATTTTAAATGATGGGAATCGTAATTCAGCTGAAGTAACTTCTATAATTGGTCGTGATAATTCTCCATCTAGACGTACTAGTTTATTCACTGCTGTATTATATTGGAATTTTCTTCGTTTAGTTATAGATTTTTTATATAATGGGATAACTGTTTTAACTTTATTTAATCATGAGATTAATATTATTATTATAGAATCTTTATTATGTTTTGTTACTATCTCTCAATCTTATTTAATAACTGTTGATGCTGAAATTGTTAAAGTTATTGAAGGAAGGAATTTAAATGAATTTAATCAAAATGAATTGGATTGGTTAAATAGAGATGGTAATGGGATTATTGGAAATAATAATAATAATCTTCCTACAACCGTAATTTCTATCCCTTCTTCAAGAAATCAAGTTTCTTCTAGAAGTGTCTCTTCTATTTATAATAGAATATTACAAAGAACTACAAGTTCAAATAATATTAATAATATTTCAAATCGTCCTCGTAATAATAATACTCATTCATGGTTTACTACTACTACTTCTTCTCCTACTACTCCAACTTCTCCACAACATAATCAATCATCAAATAATCAAAATTCTGTTCAACCTAATTCACCTACTAGACAAATAAGAAGACCTACTGATACCTTAAGACATACAGCTTCTTATCAATTAGATAAAGGAAAATTTGTGGTGGTTTCAATGCAACGGCTGACTTTTTTTGAATGGGCTAATATGGTTACTGGTCATAATAATAACAACAACAACAATAATAATGGTAGTAATTGTTCAAAATGTTCTACTTTTACAAATAATAATAATTCATCTCCTACTACTCCTATTATTGAAGAAATTCCTGATGTTCCTCCTTTACCTATACAATTACAAGATCAAAGACAATTTAATCAACCACATAGACAATTCACTCAACCACAAAGACAACACACTAATCAGTATCATCAAAGACAAATTAGTCAAGATGATTCTGAGGCTTTATTACCTTCACTTGCTTATATTCCTCAATCTAGACGTGGTAGTAATACTTCTATTATGACTAATTCTACTTCTCAAACTAAAACTAATAATGATAATCCTACGGATACTTTCAACAAACATTCTTTTATATAAAGAAAACACCTTTGTATTTTATCTTATTGTGTATTTTTTACCTTAAACCTGTAAATTACGTGTTTTTTTTTCTTGTGTATATTTATTTATTGTACTAATTTCAATCGGGAAACATCGCCAACTTAAATTGGACAATGTATCCATCAATCAAAATTGTATCTAAAATGTTGTATATTTTTTTTTTTGTCAATTAAAAAAAAACATTTTTTAACATTCAAAAATTAAATCAATTTTCTTTATTATGATACGTTAAATATTAACGAAATGATACAACTTTTTGAAAATGAACGGTAATATATATATACACACATTTTAAACGTATAAAAAAAAAATGTTATATGTATCAATTGTTCTCCATAGTCTATTTTAAGTAAAAAAAAAAAGAAAGGAAAGAAGATAAAAAAGTAAAAAAATAATATCCTCCCTCTAAAACGATCTTAATTCTAATACTTAAACAGCAACACCTTTTAACCAGGAATGATTTTTAATTTCGCTTAAACTAAGACGTTTTTGAGGATTAACTTGTAAAATTTTTTTAACAAGATCTTTGGCTTCATTACTAATCATAGACTTTCTACCTGTCTCTTTTTCACTATTCGGAAAAGTAAAATCAGCTCTAAGGATTCTACTAAAAAATTGTCTTCTTGTTTGACCAGCTTCTAAATTAAAAGGTAAATACCCAACCAATAAAGCGTATAAAACAACTCCTAAAGACCACAAATCGGTCTTACGTCCATCGTAGAGTTTTCCTGACATTAATTCAGGTGCTGCATATTCCTCTGACCCACATCGTGCTGTTAATATAGGTGATTTATCAATAAACTTTGCCAATCCAAAATCTGTTAATTTAATGATTGGTCCATTTGATGATTGATTTGATGAATCTATTAAAATATTTTCTAATTTTAAATCACGATGCACAATATTGTTTTCGTGTAAATATTCTAAAATGTTTACTAATTGAATAAATATGCGTTTACTTTCATCTTCATTTGAATTTTCGTAATGATCATTTACATAATCAAATAGTTCTCCTCCTGAAACATATTCAAGAATAAGGCAATAATGTGTTGACGTTTCAACGGTATCCAAAAGTTTAACAATGTTTGGATGATCAATATACTATAAAAAAAACGAAATTGTTAAAAAAAAGATTCATAAAAAATTTCGAATAAATTTTTTAAGTATGAAATAATCTCGATCTTTTTAAAGTATTGTTAAGTAATTAAATAATTTAAATTCACCTTCAAAATTTCGACCTCTCTCAATATGCTAGTCTTTAATCTTTCACTATCTTCAATTCCTTTCGTTGAAATCATTTTAATTGCAACATTTCTACAACCATTCAAATCTACCGCTAATTTGACTTCAGAAAAAGCCCCTGTACCAATTGTCTCTAAGATCGCATAATGACCGATTAATTCCGTAGTGTTTGATAATCCAAATTTCGATAATCTTCGTTGTAATGTATCATGTGCAAATATTGGTCCATTATCGCTTAAGTGATTTGTATGATGATCTTTTTCTGGATGATCGTTTTGTAAATGACCTTCAAAATGTGAAAGATGATGTGGATAATTTTTACTATCAACATTTAAATGCGATGAACTTATTTTATGAGCCAGTGGCACGTGTTTTACATTATGCGCAATGGGAAAGTCATTAACTGAAGTAGCAGGACTTGGTAATGCAGTCAATGACGCTAATGAATCGTCCGAAGCAACACGTTGATGTTGAGACTTCTTTAGAAATTCGGAAGAAATTGTTGGTTCTTGAACAAAATGCGTAGCAATTTTTGGTAGATCTGATGGTAAAAGCTTTTTTTCAGATGATTTGGTTGTAGTAATTTTGTCATTGTTTTGTTGTTGCGACTTTAGATCTGATGTAGTCAAAATATTATCTGACGTTGAATCAATTGCATTAGAACTCTGAATATTGGTTTGAATATTGGTTTGTAAAGTTGGAGCAGAATAAGAATGTTCAGGAAGTGTATATGATGGTATAGACGGAGATGATGTTGAGAAAGAAGTGGTATGAAACATTGGATGTGGACTTCCTTGAGCACTGCCACATGTATGTCGTTTTTTAATTTCAGCTGGTGGAGAATTAAAAATCACATTATCATAAGATGATCTTGCTCCTTTTTCTGAAACGATACTTTTTGATGAATCGGACAAGATTTGCATCGCTTTTACAGACATTATCAGTGATTTTCGGTAAGAAACAATTCGAATTTTAGCGTCACTACGGATACTGAATAATTTTTAACTGTTGATAATTATTTGATCCGAGAGAAAAATTGTCAAAAAAAAAAAAAAATAATTTTCAGAAAAAAAAATTTTTTAAAATAAAAAATTAAAGTTTCGTTTTACCTTATAAATTTAAATATATGTGTGTGTGTATATTTTTAAATAATTGATTTTGGAAAGAAAAAAAATTAATTTTTTTTCTTTATAAAAGAAAGGAATTATAAATATCACACGAGGAAATGAAAATGAAACAAAGGGTATAATATATATACCAATAATAAAGACACAATGACAGACTAATTTTTTTTTTCTTTTGAAATATCCGAAATATTCGGGATTCTTTTTTTTTTATTTCCTTTTTTTTTCGATTTTTTTTTCTTTTACACTATTTGTTTTTGAGAAATAGCAACCGCGTAAAAAAAAGTGGATACAAAATAATGTTTATGGTATGTTTTGAAATAAAGGGTTATGGACTTATGGTTATAGTGCAAAGTTTTTCTATTTTTATTCTATTGTTATTAAAAATTGTCCCAACGAAAACAAGAATTTTGTTTTAATAAAATAATAATTCTACTTTAAAAATAGCACCTCGAAAGGTTTGGATTTCTTTTTTACTCCCCTTTAAAAGTAAGAAGCGCAAGCGTAAAAAGGTGAAATATGAAATGAAGAACTTTTGTCGAATAAAGAACAAAAAAAAGTGTATGTGGTTATGAAAAAAAAGAGGACCCACTAAATTTTAGAATGCGCAAAGGGGAGCAAAGAAGAAATGGGACAAGATTTATTTTTTTTTTGCGAACAAAGTTGATAAATAATACTGTATATAAAAGAATACCAAAATTCCTTAGCCAAAAGATGACAAGTTTTGCATATCCGCATCTGACGCATCTTTTTTTATATCTATAACGGATTATGATGTTTCGGTGTTTAGTAAGCCACCATTACTTAAATCGTTAATCTACAACTTTTAAAGCTACTTGCATCATGTTCACATTGAATACGATATGAATTGATACAATATGTAAATTTGATAAGTAAATCATTATATGATTATTGGTTATATAATTTTTTTTTAGCGAGTTAATTATTAATTTGCCGTCTTATTAAGTAATTTATATGGCTTTGCAATAAGAAAAATATCGGGCGTGGGTGATCTGAAGTGTAAATAAACTTAGGGTTGTCGTAGCTAGAATAGTTTTTTAAATAAGGTTAATATAAATAACTAATGTAACGAATATGGAATGTATGCGTTGGTTCTGACCAATATTTCACGTCACACAATCATCATATACTGCGCGTCGCGATTTGTTAAAGTTAACAATTACCTCTCATTTTTATGTTAGTTTCACTTTGTTAAAGCGGATCATTCGATCATGCTAATTGATTTATTTTAGACAAAATGGCGCTTAATGCTTATGAGTAATTACCTTATCAAACTATAAGTTATGACCTAGACTCATGTTGTTATGGCGGTAAAATTCTTTTATTGAATTTAATGATTGTTTTAAAAAAAAATGAAATTAATAAAATAGATCAATCTTAACACAAATAAACAAATATATAAAAATAATTGTTAGTTTTTGTAAAATACGCTTTTAGATTGTCTAATTATAACTAATGAAGAAAAATATTAATTGGCTTCGTTAAAGATATTCTAAAACTCTCGCAAATGTTTCATCTATTATATTACAACAATAAAATATTTTGATTTTTAAATTTTACACCCAAAGTCTTGCACAAAATAAGTAACAAAATACAAACTTCGACAGATGTGGTATAAATAACCCCGAATTATTTAATATCCTAAATATACGTTTTGAGAAAATGTTGAACTCGTCGATTGGAAACTTGAAGTGGATGAATCTTGAGAATGCATTGATTGCGAAAAACCTGCTAAATGATTCTGTTGTGATGCAAACTCTGGAGACATAGTTAACCTTCTAAAAGGATTACTATCTAAAGTTGTTGAAGTTGTAGGAGAAATGGAGGATTGTATGGTCTTTTGAGATAATTGAGATTGGAAGTTTGTTCCAGATAATGAGTCAAATGGATTTGAAGTGTTTGTAGCAGAAGGTAATGACTGTAGAAATGGATTCTGGTAAGGTACAACAGCTTGTGATACAGGAGCTGGATCTTGTACATATACTGACGAGCGAAATGGATTGGTATCCTGTATTATAGATGTAGGTTGATTTAAATTTTGTTGCATTGGACTTATTGGACTTGTTGGACTTATTGGACTTTGAATTCCTTGATTTTGCATGGATAAGAAAGGGTTAGTAGCAGTACTGTAACGCAACGAATCCGTTCGTAAAATATTTGTATCCGCATTCTGATAATGCTGATTGCTAAATATCACAGTTTGCTCTTGTTCTATGCTTGCAAAAAAATCAATAAAATCATTTTCTTTGGTTGGAACTTCCTTATCACTTGAAGTAGGTAAAGAAGTGTTAGACCTTGCAACTAATTTTGATAAAGATTTTACGAGTATTAATTACAAATAATGAAATTAAAAAAATTTGTATATAATATATTAAAAAAAAATGAAAAAATCTTTTACTTGAATCATTTTTCGGTTGACTAGAAGGCTTCTTTTCTAACGATTTTTTCGAAACTGGTGGTGTTTTTTGTGCTTTTTGTGCTTTGGTTCGTTCTTCTTTCGCAAGCTTATATTGTTGCCTGTTAGTTTCAAAATCTGGATCGTTGACATAATCTTCTAGAGATACTGTTAAGGAAGTAGGTGCCTAAAATCATAATTGAAAGAGTTAAAATTATGCTTAAAATATTTATTGATTTTAATAAAATCAAATATTTACGTGTTTTAAATTGGGAATAACAATGCTTAAACGATTTTGCATTTTCTTTGCTGCTCCTAAATATTCTACAACTTTTTCAGTCTGCTTAACAAATTTCTTATAAATTTGAAGAGCATCTTTAGCATCAATTTTTGACATTTCGATATATTGATCTAGAACACTAATGACGCCTTCATTTAAAGATTTAAACACAGCTAATAAATCTTTAACCAAAAGACTGAAAGCACTTAATGTAATTTCATTATTAATCTCGTCCAAATAAAACTAAAAAAGAAAATAATATTGCCATTTTAGACTTCATAAATATACATAAATATATATAATATTGATACACAACAAACCTTGCAATTCAACAGTGTATCCAATTGACGCTGTAGTATATTAACTTCTCTTAAAAGTCCTTTAGCGACAGTAAGTTTTTTCAATCGTCCACCACTTTCTCCATTTGTAGCCTTTGCAAAGTCGACTTTCAATTCGCGATATACGGCTACTTTCTCTTCAAGATAAATAGCATATGAATGTATATTTTTAATTTGCTCCGCACCTACTCGAATTAAAACAAATATATTTAATATATTATCACCATAAGAAAAAAATCAATTTTTTACATACCATGAACACTTGATTTATCTTTAAAGCCTGAAACATTTAACAAGCCAGGATACCTTACCAAATGGTTTAAAACTCTATCGCTTTTACCACTCCTTATTAAAGTGTGAACGACCAGGAGACTTTTGAAAACAACCTATTTTAAATATAACGTCAATAAATATAAATTTTGTTCTAAAAAGAATGTTGAACCTTACCGTCCATGAAGACTCCTTTAGCCTACAATCGAGAGACATAAACATCGTCCCTAAAGTGTCGTCCCTAGAAGTGGCTGGAATCAACACTTATTATACAAGGAGGAAAAAAATGAATAATAATATATTGGGCCAATTTATAGAGCTTAAAAAAGAAAGCGATATATATACCATCGAGGTATTTCTTTTTGGGAGCCGCCCGTTTAGGCTTTGTGGCCCCCCGAACTGCTTTGTCCATATTGAGAGAAGCCATCTTGAAAATCTAGTTTTTATACAAAAATTTTAAGGAAAGACAAAAGTAAAAAAAAAATTAAAAAAAAATTAAAAAAATTGGAGGAGAAATAAATTCAGTTAAAATTACGGAACGATTTCGGTAATATATGCGTCATGCATGCAAAAACATATTTGAATTTTTCCGTAATAGTCGTAATATTGTGAGCTGCGGATAAATCAAAGTGATAATCAGTTTTTTTTTTTAAAAAAAAAATTCAGGATAAAGTGCATCTTATATTTTCTTTGGTCGGAAAATTTAAATGGGTAAAACCAAGAAAAAATCCGCACGAGCTTTTAATAAAAAAAATGATGCCTTTAAATCGAATTCTGAAAAGAAATTTTTGTCAACGAATAACGACGTGAGTTTTCAGAGTATTTTTCATATATACCCTACGTATCTCATTTTCTATTTAATTTTAAGGAAGAATTGAAGACTGATTTGAAAAAATTAATAAATGATATGAAAAATCGTAATCGTGAAGATTGTGAAAATAGCGAATATGAAGAAGAAATGGAAATATCGGAAGAAGAAGCAATTGAAACTTCTAGTCACTCTAAATCGAAATCTAAATTGGTAATTGTAATAAAATATATTTATTGTACATATTTTTAACTAAATATTTATTAATATTGTAAATTATTATTAAGAATATTGAACCAAATCGATTTTGGTATAATATTAAAATCCAACCTCCTTCGGATTCGAAAAAAAGAAAACTAACTGACAAAGACATTTCCGATTTATATAATAATGCATTGCGTCTTTTGAATAAAGAAAACGATGTATATGAAGCTATTCGCTCACGTCGTAATGCATCGGATCGTGCTTTTTATACAACTATGTTAAAGTCTGGAACTTTGAAAGATAGATTATCGACTCTTTCGGTCCTTGTAGAGGAATCTCCTGTACATGCAATAAAAGCGCTAGATACGTTATTTAAAATGGCTTGTAAAGAAAATAGAAATGAAGCTATTCAAACTGTTGAAGGGTTAAAAAATTTAATGGTTGAACTACTATTACCTCCTGACCGGAAATTAAAGTAAGTTAGAATTAACATGTAAAATTATTCATTAATGGATAATTAAAATTATTTCGCGATATAGATTTTTCCGGGACCAACCTATAGACAAGACAAACATATCGAGTAAGGATTTAATATTATGGAGTTTTGAAGATTATTTGAAACGAAAATATTTCGAATTAATTCGCGTGATCGAAGTAATTACAGTTTTATAGAAATAGGTCCATTTGCTCTTTTTAATTAAAATTATAGTAAATTATTTATTCAACTCCCTTTCGAACAGATATTATCACATGATGTTGTAATATACGTAAAGCTTCAAATTTTAGGAATAATTTTTACTCTATTTATGGAGAAACCTGAACAAGAATCTAATTTGCTGAAATTATTGGTGAATAGACTAGTAAGTGGTTAAAACATATTAATTATTAAAATCGTTAAAAAGTTTATACTAATAAACTTATATTTATTTATAGGGAGATAATGAAAGGAAAGTGGCGTCGAAAGCTTCTTATCTTATCGATCAAATATTTCCAAAGCATCCTCACATGAAAAAGATTGTTATCCAAGAGATAGAACAATTAATTTTGCTTCCCACGGCCAATCGTCATGCTCAATACTACGGAATAATCGCATTGAGTCGCATCATCCTAGCAAAACGTGATACCGAAGTGGCTAATAAATTAATAGATATCTATTTTGTCCTTTTTGCAAAGTTGTTGGAAAAAAAGGATAAAGAAATCAAAAAGAGTAAAATTTCTTATTCTAAAACTAAAAACAAGGATAATAACGTAACGGAATTTGAAGATGCGGTTGATTCCAAAATGATTGCAGCTCTCTTAACAGGCATTAATAGAGCTTATAATTTTGCTCAGATCAATAATACAGTGTAAGTTCCAATTAAATAAAAAATCTTACTAAGGTGAATTAAGCACTAATTTTTTATGATTGCCTTTAGTTACGAAAAATATTTAGATGTATTATATCGAATAACATATGTTGGAACATTTAATATCAGCATACAAGCACTTATGCTTATATACCGAGTATCGTCAGAGAAAGAAGTATATTTTCGATAGATTTTATCAAGCTAAAAATGCCAATATCTTGTTTTATATTTCTAATCGAGTTTTGTATTTTAATATATTTCAGTCATTTTCTGATCGTTTCTATCGGGCTCTATATCATTCCTTGTTAGATCCCCGTTTAATAAAAAGCTCGAAACACGCATTGTATTTGAATCTTCTGTATAAAGCTTTGAAATCTGACCCCATACTTACAAGAACCAAAGCTTTTCTAAAACGATTGGTACAAATTTGTGGACATCATGAACCACATTTCATCTGCGGTGTTTTATATCTATTAGCTGAGGTGATTATTTATCATAACTTTATTTAATGATCAGATAATATTAATAATTAATAAAATACGCTTAATCTTATAGCTAATCATTGCACGGCCGAGTCTTCGTCCTTTCGTTGTTCGACCTGAAAATCACGAAGAGGAAAATACTGACGATAAGTTGAGCGAAAAGAATCATGATTCAAGTTCAAAAAATGAATCCGCGGAGAGTGAAAAGAATAAAAAATATGATCCACGAAAACGAGATCCTCAGTATAGTAACGCCGATAAATCGAGACTTTGGGAATTGGTAAAGCGTGAATTATCCACTATTAAGTATTACACGAGAAGCTTTGGAATTAATTTTTTTTTTTTTAATTTAGACTACTTTTACCAACCATTTTCATCCTACAGTTGCTTTATATGCAACACAAATAGTTAATGAACAACCTATCAGTGGTCAACCGGAACTTCATCTCCATACAACAACACATTTCTTGGATAAATTTGTATTCCGTAATCCAAAGAAGCATGACAAAATTAAAGGTAGTAATCCTTTACTTCAACCTACGAAAACTTCAGAGCCAGGAAAAGTTGTAATCAAAAAAGGTACCGGAATTTCCAAGGATGAGTTGAACGTAAATTCCAAAGAATTTTGGTCAATGGAATTAAAAGATGTGCCAGTAGATCAGGTACCATATGATCAATTCCTGTTGTAGTCTTTTATGAATTGCATCTAATTTAATTATATTATATCGCATTAGATTTTCTTCCACAAATATTTTACACAAAAGCATACTGGTAAAGATATACAAAAGGTTAAGAAAAAGAAACAAGATACCGAAGACGATTTTCCTTTTGTTGAACTTGGCGAAGTAAGCGATGACGAAAATGAAATTTGGAAGGCCATGAAATCCGAATTGCCATTTGATTTAGATTCGGATCTTGAGAATGAAGAGGATGATGATGATGATATTGACGATTTCATGGAGAACTATGAATTCTCATCTGAAGATGATGATGTGATGGATATATGACGACAAGAATTTATAAAAGGTTTTGATTTGATGTTGGTTTGGTAAAAGCTTTTAAAAATGCAATTGATTTAAAAAGTAATAAACTTTTATTTAAATGTAAAATTTATTCTATTTTACAAATTCTAAACAAAGTATACATCAATCATTAATAAACTACAAAACATTGTAAAAGTATTAAAGTTTTCCTTTAAATAACAAATTAATCTCTACACATGAATAAAAATCAATTAAGTGGGAATTATATACAAAAAAGACAAATCAACATATAATAAATAAAAAAAAAGATTAAAGATAAACAGTGAAATTTATTACTAAACCAAATGTGTTTTCTTTCTTCGATTTGTTGTTTTGATTTTCTCCTACAGTAAAATAAATTAATTAAAAAAGGGTGAACATTAATATTCTATCACTTTAAATTAAAAAAAAAAAACTATATACAAATTATTTTTTGCTGTTACATATATACATATACATAAACAGTAAAAATAGAGAGAAAAAAAAAAATAAAATGGAGTTATCTTAATATATTGTAATTTTCCCACCAAATTTGTACTATAAAGAAGATTACAATAACATTCAAAACTCTCCAAAATGACAATTTTTTGAGCCCGATATTTCACCGAATAATAAAAGAAATTTTTAATTTATCAGTCAAATAATTTTTTTTCCTAATAAAAAAATTTTTTGGAAACCTTTCTGAAGTGATCAAGATATTCCCAAGACGAAGTATTGTATCATCCTTTGAATAATTAAGTTTCTGATTCGCAGAAGCATTCCTTGAAGGCGCTTTTAGCTAAATTTTTTTTTTTAAAAAAAAAAACCTAGAGAAATAGAACATTCCAAGGAATCTTTATATTACTATAAAAGAGTAAGGTATAACTTAAATTATACTCAGGAAACATTTTGTGTCACATTCTAGGCTTTTTACTGAATCTTATAATATAGGTCTAATTAGAAGATGTAATAGTAGAATCTCGGTTATCTCGATTATCAACAGTAACGTCATCAGACTCAAAATCATTCGGAATTAAAACCAATTCCATCTCAGAAATTAAACTCTGATGATCTGTATTTAGATTCGAAGAGTTAACTCCAAACATAGATGTCTCAATTTTAGTATTTATGGGGGGTGGAGGCGGGGGTCCAACCTTTCTCACTGGAGGTACATATATGGGTCGACATTTGCCTGAAAGAAATATGTAAAAAAAAAAATGTTTAAAATTTTTCATAATTAAGAAAAAACGATTAATTCTTACCTTTATGAGTAAGATAATTTTCACGAGCTTTTTCCAAAAGCTCTCGATCCGGTCGTGTTGCGTCGAACACCGAACCTACAATTTAAATTATAATCCGTTGAGCAAATTAAAAAAAGAATAAAATATGATTCGAAGATATCAAAAACCACAAAAAGGAAAAAAAAATTTAACAGACAAACTAACAAGTGTCAAAAGATCCAATATAATTTATCATTAATTCCAAATAAATATATATTATACAAAAATTACAAAAAAATACAACTTTGATCTTAACGCTATTTCTTTTTTAATTATTTTAATTAACAAGTATCATAATAAGACGTACGAGCTATAAGACCCAAATCCCCAGCACGCTGAAGTCGAAACCGCTTGAGTTCATCAAGCGTACCTTTAACGGGATCTGTTGTCCCATCTTTCCATGGTCGCTTTACAATCACATCTGCATCAATCGCATGATTTATATTTGATGTTTCAACAAGGGATTTTAAAGTACCCCAATTTTTTGTAGCTATGATTAAAAGATCGTTGAGAATCGAAATTAATTATACTTTATTTATCTACAAATTATATAAAATCTCTAAAACTATATATAAAATTATCAAGACAAAATGTCAAATCTACCATTATGTTCTTTTGTAAGAACGCTTTTTCGAAACCTCGTGGCAGCATCACCCTTAAAAGAATTTCCCTGTTTTGCTTTCAACCTGCGTACTAATAAGACTCTGCTAGTAACTGCAGCGAAATTTTCTTGAGGCAATGCCGATGTTGTAGTTCTTGGTGGGTTTGCCGTTAGAAAAAAATCTTCTTCAGGGATCCATTCAACAGCAAGATAGTTTTTGCATGAAAATTGCGACGAAAAATGTGAATTATTATGAATTTTCCGACGTTTTGGAAGCTCATAATGTATTAAATTATGGGGCGTTTTTTTTGATGAGATGTGTAATGAAGTCGAAGCACCATGTTTTCTTTTAAGCCTTGGCTCTCCGCCAAAAATTGGCCACCATCCATGATTATTGACAATATATTGTTGTAATTTCAACACATCATTTGGAGGTTCGGGTAGTTGAGGTTTTTGTTTAGAAACTTCTAACATCCATTCTGACCAACTCAGTGAGAAAGACTTTATTACTGACCCATGTCGCTGAGAAACTATTGTTGTCCACTCTATCCAGGTCTGTGAGAAAGATTGTAATGCTGAAGTAATTTTACCCGATTGTGCACTCTCGTTAGAGTTTGTATCAGATCCTTGTGAAATTCCACCTGAAGTGGTGCCAAAAAAATTTGGGGCCATATTATTTGTGTAGAGAAACTATGGTATTATTTAACAATCTATACTCAAACTTTGAAGAGATTTGAACTCGAAAAAATGTATAGTAGTAACTAAGAAATAAGTCTATTTATACCACAACAGTACTCTGCTTTAACTCCAGAAAACTTATAGGTTGAGTCTGTTAGGTTAATAAAAACTTTTTCTTTGTTCACTTTTTTTTTGTTTTACTAGCACAAAAAATTAAAAAAAAAAATGAAGAAAACTTTGAAATATCAAAGTTATAAGGATTTACCAAAGATTTACTTTTTTATTAATGTTATGCTAAAATTTGGTTCGAGAAGAATTTGTCTCCCTTGTGTAATAATAATGTGGCAGGAAATTTTGAAGTGATATCAATATTGATATTCGGTGCGATAACATCATCATGACCTCAAACGCCAGTTGTGAAAATTTGTGAAATACAAAAGGTAAAGATCAGATGTTAATGTAACATGCCTTTAACCGTAAATTTATACGATGATCTGGCCGAAAAAGGCATTTGAAATTTAGATTTAACCAATCATATTATTTCAAAAAAAAATCCGAATTTATGACATGAAACTCTGCCATAATTTCATTAATAAACAATACTGCAGTTTTGTAAATCGGCAATATCTACCAATTAATCATATTAATCTAATTTTAGACTCGCCGAATTAAATACCTGAAATTTGCTTTTGTTATCTTGTTAAACGTCTAAATAGTTATGATCTTCTTATAATAAGTGAAACAAAAAAAAACTTCTAGGAATTCAATAATTTAGTCCATTGTTAAAGTGTGTACGTCTCTATAGTTAATGCATCTTTAAAACACGCTTTACAAACTTTTTAGTTTATAATTTATATGTTGATTCGAAAACTTTTAAATCTTGTTTATTAGTTATAGAAAAAAACTATTTCAACGTATACTACGAATTTTATCAAGACTAAAATTTAGCGTTTAACCATTTCGAAAAGATGTCCATTTCATATATGGCACTTAGCTCTATCAACAGTTCTATCAACAAAGATTTCTGTAATTTAGATCAAATAATTTATGGTTCTGATGTCATATTTTCGGACATTGCTTATTTGAAATAATTGTAGATTTTTTTTTTAATTCTTGTAATACGAAAATAATTACATCAGTAAGATCCGATAATGCTAATTTTGCAATAAATCAATCAATTATTCCTATTTAATACAAATACTATCTGTTATATATATTGTATATTTTTTTTCATTTAAATTTTTTTTTTTAACAAAAAAAAAATTAATATATTAAATCTTTTTTCTGATTATTATCTCATGATCTGTAAGTCAACCACAAAAATTCCATTATGATTTTGGTGCTAACACCCTCTTAAATAATGCTCTTTAACTTATTTTAGTACATAGTAATATTTATCATAAGTTATTAAGTTAAGCAAAAGTTTTTATATTTTAATAATTATTTTGTAATTTTGTAATATTTAGAATTCAGTTTTTAAAATTTTTAAATTTTCAAATTTTTATCTAATCTTTATATATATATATAAATAAAACAAAAAATATAAAAATTTACTTTATATAAAAAATTTACTTTTATATAAAAAATAATTTAATATTCATATTAGTTAAACTGATTAAAATCTAATTCAAATTTGATTAAACTATGAATTTTATAGTTTAATTTAATATAAAATCATATTAAATTATAATAATTTTTAGTTTAAACCAAATAAATTAAATTAAATTATAATAAATTTTAGCTTAAAATTTTAAAATTAGTGAATTATAATATTATTTTTTTTTACTCTTATAGTAAGTATATTGGATTATTTGCATAAATAAGGTATAGAATTATAATAATATTATACAATATTTGTTTTTGAAAATTACTCTTAAAAAAAGCAGTATTTATTTTATTAAAGAATCAAGTTGTATATTTTATCAATAAAACTTGTACTTTATCTTATAAAGTTACAAGAACTAAGCAAAATATACTTCATAAATAACAAACTAAAAGAAAAAAAAAAATTAATCTTTAAAACAAAAAAATTCTATATAAGAAAAAGTATAAGTGTATAATTAACTAAAAGAAAAAATTCTGAAAGAAATCTAAAACTTCTATCTAAAAAATAAGGATTAAAAGTTAAAACTATATCTAAAATTATAGAATTAACTTTTTATTAAATTAATTATAAGCATCCTTACAGTTACATTCTATCTGTTAATTTTATTAGTATTTCTTTTAATTTTATTACTTTCTTATAAAATTTTTTTTAGAAATTCTGAAATTCTTCTTCTTGTTTTTTTATGTTAAAATTAAAACTTGCAATTCTAGTTGAAAAATTCTTTTATATTATCTTTCTTAATTTTATACTAATATTACTTGTATGTATTCAAAAAAATCTGATTAATACTTATAATAACTTTATTCTTTAGACTGGAATTCTTTGCAAAGGGTTTTTTTTTTAAAATTTTTAGTCTTCTTATTCTTTTTTAATTGGCTTTAGATTTCATAATAAAACAGAAAAAGTATAGTAATAATCTATTTTCTTGTTTTTAATCTTAAATTATTTATCTATAAAATTATTAAGATCTTTTTATTTTTTAGGTAAATTACAAATTTGTACTTTTTTTCTTCTATATTACTTTCATAATGATAACTTTAAAAACTTTATAATTGGATATAACTATTAAAGTTATTTTTTCTACTATATAGTTTAACTAAAATAACTTTACTTCAGATTTTTAGGTAGTATAATAAATCTATATTTTTTTAAATCAAAGGAAATACATAGTAATAATATCATTAATATATATAAACATAAGTTTTATTAGCTAATATCTTATAATTATATGTGTAGCTTTCTTTTTAATAACTGATTTTCTTTCTTTTTTTTTATCTTTATTTGAAATTAATAGATAGATTACTATTTCATTACTGTCTTGTATTTTTAAGTTTAGTTTATAAAAAAAGCACTTTTTCATTTAATTTAATTAACAAAAAAATCAGTAATTATTACTTTTTTCTTGGCTAATTTTTCTTTTTTATGCTTTTATTTTAATAAAATAATAAACTATATAAATAAATCTTTTGTAGAAAATTGAACTAGTTATAATTAATGTAATAATAATTAACTATTAAAATATCTGATTTAATAAATCTATATTATTATCATATTGCGTAATATATAGTATTATCATCCAACTGGATATTATTTTAATCCCAAATTGTTGAAAAATGCATATAAGAAAGAAGGATATCAATTCTGCCTAAGTGAATGTAAAGATTTTTTTAGAAAATCAGGAGTTATACCAAACAAATAAAATCTTTTTGAAATACATTTCTAGAGTTAGTTATAGATGAATAACATGTCCTAATTGTGTACATCAGTGTGATATACTATTTCTTATTCATGATCATTATAAAGGTAAAAAAATATAAAGCAGTACTCAATATTATAGACTGTGCTTTCTGATATAAAACTTCAGTTCCGCGCATATCTAAAAATAGTTCAGAAGTTGCTAGAGCATTTAGAAAAGTATATAGTACTTGAAATAATCTATTGACATGGCTAAAGCTTTTATAATATGACAGAAATCATGAATTTATGGGCAAAACCTCCTGACTAATGCAAAAACATGATGTTACTATTCAAGTAGTCAGCTCATATAGTCACAGTCTCACAAAAGAGTTGTATTTGTAAAGTGTTTCAATCAGACACTCTTAAAAATTCTATATAAAATCTAGTATACTATTAAATCAATATCTTCCAATTCTGAATTAATAAGAGTATTGGTTAAATATAAACCAGTACAGTCAAACCTTGATATAGCGAACCCTTAATATAGTGAATTTTTCAGACAATTATAATAAATTTCCCCTAGCTATAATGAATTAACCAATCAAATCTCTTAAAATTTTTATTATAGTCTTATAGTGAAGTTGAAGTTTGGACCCTAGGGTTCGTTATAACAAGGGTTGACTGTAGTTATTAATTATTTAAATAATTATCCCATACGCCTTATTTGAAAACCAGAATCAGAAAAATGGAAACTCAAACTAGTGAAAGACATTATATTACAGTGCGGTACCTCTATAATAGGTACCCTTATATCTTGTAGTCTAATGATCAGAATTTTATAAAATTTTAAAATTAGATAGCTTTTAAAAGATAAATACATTAAGCAAATAAAAAAATTTTCTCAATTTTTTTTTGCTGACATAATACAAAATCACATGACTTAAATACATTTGATTGGCTAATACAATATTTAATGTTAATTAGAATTATGCATAATTTTTTATATATAATTTATTATTCATTATAATTATTTAAAGTAATTTGATTAAGCATATCATCAGGAACTTTTCTATAGGATTTATATTTTTTTTAGCAAGTTTTCCTGTAATTCTTTTTTGAGAAATAAACATAATATAATTTGCAATAAATAAAAACTACCAAAATTTTTTTTAAATTTTTTTTCAAAATTTTTTTAATAAAGCATGGGTAAGTTTATAAACTAAAATGATTTATTTAAATAAGTAATATCAAATAATTGTTTTTTTTATGTTACACAAAAATCACTTATTCTCAAATTTTTCCCATCATAATAAATTACCTGAACTTCAAACTTATATAACATTAGCAAAATTTATTATTTTTTAATCTAACCTGATAAGTTTAAAAGCTCTTGATATGCTTTATTAAAATTATTGGTTAGAATTTTAAAATATTATTTTTTGCTAATGTGACATCTTTTTGAAAATGTCACATTATAACTATAAAATTGGGTTGGTTATAGAGGTACTGCACTGTAGATCAAGTGAAATCTAGACTATCTATAAAATATAAGCACCTGGTTAAAAAAAATGAAATAGCATTAAAGAAAGATAATACTGCCTATTACTTACTTGCCAATGCGGAATGAAAAGGGGTATGGAAAATCAAAGGTAGGTAACTGATTCAATATGAAATCCAAACCTTCATAAAATCTGAAAAGTTGTTGTTATAAAGAATAAGCCAATTTTATATTATCTTGATAGTGAATATGCTCCATCATATAGGTTTGTGCAAAAAAAACTCATGATTCAAAAAAAGTTAGATGTTCACCCAAAGTATATTATTTATATATATTGCTTATATCACTAATAAAGAGATAGATCAAGTTATTGATTATACCAGAAAACGTAGTAGTCAGTGTCTAAAAAGGACTGGACGGATAAATGATCATAATATGTATCTTTAGTCTTGTAAAAATAGTACGTATCAGTAGAAATATCCACTAAAATATATTATGAAAAAATTTGAATGATG